TCAGCAGCAGCAGCAGCATTCTCAACAGCAGCAGCAGTGCAAGAACCCAACCGGCTCCCCCGGTGCTGTGGCCTGGACCAGCAACCTGCACCCCGCGGGGGATAGCACGGGAAGCTGGGCTGCGGTGATGCCCTCTGCTGCAGCTGCTGCGGCGCCGGTAGGGGACGGTAATGGTAGCGGCAACGGTAACGGGGGTGGTCATGCCAGCGGCAGGGGAGGTAACGGCGCCGGTAACGGGGGTGGTGGGGGTTCCACGGGCCCTAACAACAGCAATACCGCAGCAGCAGCAGCAGCAGCAGCAGCAGGAGGCGGTGGTGGTCGGGTTGACGGCATGGCTGTGCTGGCGGCGCCGGAGGTTCCGGCGGCGTCACGAGCTGCATGTGGTGGCGGTTGCGGGGGCGGCGGGAAGCAAGATCGCATGGCGGCAGAGACCTTCAAGGGGGCCTTATGTGCGGATCTAGCAACGCCAGGCGGTAGCCGGCCTGTGTTCCGAGAACTCAGGTGTGGGGCTGGGGACCCTGCTGGGTGGCACCCTCTCTCCCCCGCCCTCCCTCCCATGCACACATGGCTCCCACCATTCCCTAACTCACCATGCTGGAGTTTGTTGGCTCTTCCCACGCAGCTGGCACGGGCTGTACCTGTCTACCACTCCGCATCGCTCTACCCTGAGGCCCTGGCGCGTGACGCCGGCGGTGACGCTGCTGCAGAACGTGTCAGGCCGGGCGGTGGCAGGGGAGGTAAGCAGGGGAAGGGCCAGGGAGAAGGGTGCAGTGGGGGCCTTTCGAGCTCGTGCTGCGTTTTGGCGGAGGGTTGAGAGGTAAAGTGCCCATGCCATGTGCAGCCACCCTGTCCTCCACCCATCGGCGCTGTTGTTTGTTCGCGATGCCAACCCCGCACAGACGTCAGGACTCCCGCCTCCTCAGTCATCCCTAAGGCTCTCCTTAAGGTCCTCCTCTCCCTTCCTCACTCCTCACTCCTTATCACACCCTCCCTCCTTCCCTTTCCCACCTCCTCCCCCACAGCTCCTAGGCATCCTAGGTCCCTCCGGCTCCGGCAAAACCACCCTACTCAACGTGCTAGCAGGCCTGCTGCAGTCCGGCCGCCATTGGCGCCTGCACGGCCGCATCGCGCTCGACGGCCGCCGGGTGCCCGGACCGCGCCACCTAGCGTCCCTGGTGGGGCACGTGCCGCAACACGACCTGCTGGCCCGGTCGCTAACGGTGGCTGAGTGTGTAGCGGCGAGTGCGGCGGTGCGACTGAGCTGGCGGGAGCTGACGCGAGGGCGGCAGCATGTGCAGGTGCGGGGCAGTGGTTGCGGCGGTTGCGGTCGCGGTTGAGGATTGGGGATGTGCGGATGAGGTGTTAGGAGGGCGCTTTCAGATATCTAACACCTTATATACCTACCGGCAGCACACCTCCCCTGTCCCCTCCGCTCCTGTCCCACGCAGGCTCGAGTCGACTCCGTCCTACGTGAGCTGGGGATCTCCCACTTGGCGCATCGTGTGGTGTGGCCCGGAGGCAGCGGCGCCCTCTCCGCCTCCGCCGCCGTCGCCGCCGGCGCCGCCACCCTCTCCGGCGGCGAACGCCTTCGCGTGGCTGCGGCTCTAGAGCTGGTCTCCGACCCGCCGCTGCTGCTGCTCGACGAGCCACTGTCAGGACTGGACTCCGCAACCGCGAAGGCCACCATGAGCGTCATTCGCGCCGTCGCCGCCGGCCGCCGCTGCGACGGCGGCGGCGGAGGTATGGACGGCGACAGCGACGCCGGCGTCGGTCGTGTGGTGGTGGCGTCGCTGCACCAGCCCTCGCCGTTGCTGATCCGTTGCTTGGATTCGGTGTTACTCATGGCGGCGGGGCGAGTGGCGTACTTTGGGCCGCCTGGAGGTGGTGCGGCGGCGGTGGCGGCGGCGGGGCTGCCGCCAGCGCCGTCGGGAGTGCCCATTGCGGATCACTTGTTGGATCTGGTGTCCGACCCGCGGGACGCTGTTCGCTTGTGCGACTGGCATAACAGCGGCGGCGGTGGCGTGAGCGTCACAGGTAACAGCCGTAGCGGTGGCGGCGGCGGCAATTGCATGGCCGCCATGCCTCGTACAGCGATGGCGCTGGAGCCTTCATGCACAGCGGCTGCAGCTGCCGCAGAAGCCGCCGCCGCCGCTGCCGCTGTCGGCTCCGCGAATGAGGAAGCCGCCGCAGTCGCCGCCAGCGACGTGGCATACGTTCGGTCGTTAGTACGGCAACGAGGCGGCGGCACTGGCCCATGGGTCCGTGTCCGCCGCATGTGGCTGGAGCTGGGAGTAGTGACTTGGAGGTCGGGTCTGGATCTGCTGCGCAATCCCTCGGGGGCTGCGTTGCACCTGACGGTGTCTGCTGCCATGGGGTTGCTGGTGGGGGGCGTGTTTTCACACACGGACCTCAATGTATCAGGTGAGGGGCTGAGGCTGGTATAGCTGCTGACCTACGTGGGACCTATGCTGACCTATGTGCACGTGAGGGTAAGCGAGGAAAGCACTGCAGTCCACTATAGTCCTAATAAGGCAACCTGCACTCGCCTTCCGTTTCCTAAACAGGCGCTCAGAACCGAGTGGGCGCCATCTTCTTCTCCGTCATGCTGCTCGCCTGCTTCGCCACCTCGGCGGTCGACGGAGTCTACCCGGAGCGTCCCATCGTGGAACGGGATCTACTGCGCCGATCGTACGGCGTCCTGCCGTACACGCTGTCCAAGCTGCTGCTGGATGCAGCCCTGCTGCGGGTGCTGCCCGCTTGGGCCTACGGGGCGCCCTTCTACTGGTGGGGCGGGAGGGGGGCCCGCATGCGTATGTGGGGTTGGCAGGGCACCATCACATTTTGTGACCATTTGCTTTTCTCTCTCCTGCTTTCCGCCCTCTCATCGCTGCCTCGCTTGTGTCCCCAACCTCCCGCGCACCCGCCCGACCCCCACCACCACCAGGCTCATGGGTTTGCGTCAGGAGGTCGCCGCGTTCTTCACCTTCATGGGGGCCTTCACCTCCATGTCCTGTCTGGCAGGTGAGGCATACGGAGGAAGGAGAAAGAAGAAAGAGGAAGCGGGGGCGGAGTTCCCCTTAGGACCCCTTCGTATTCACCTCTTCGTACCCCTTCGTATCCACCGCACGCCATGCCGCCCCATCTCTTTCCCATCTCTTCCCCACCCCACCACCCCGCCAACCCCCTTCCCCAGGTGCCGCCTGCCTGGCGCTGTGTTTCATGCTGCCCAGTCCAGGCCGGGCTGTGCTGCTGCTCAACCTGCTGTTGCTCATCTGCGCGCTGTTCAGCGGCTTCCTGGCAAACAAGTCCGCCATCGTTCCGTGGCTCAGCTGGATCGTCTACCTCAGCCCAATCAGGTGCGTGCCGGCTGCGGGGGCTTCATTGAGCCCTATGCGCCTGCTCAGCCGTGAACTGACACATGTGTGCAAACTTGCCATGTGTGCAAACCTAAGCAGCAGAGCACGCACCGGTACGTAGGCGCCCGACTCCTCACCCTACTCACACTACTTCCTTCCTAATTCCGGCTGGGCGGGTCGGGCTGGCTCACATGTTGCAAACCATGATGACGCCTTATCACATGGTCACTTAGTTGTTTCCTCTTTACCCACCCCCCCCACACACACAACCCACGCACCAGGTACTGCTGGGAGGCCCAGGTAATCAACGAGCTGCGCCCGCTGGTGCTCAGCTTTAGTTCCCCGGAGCTGCCTCAGGGTCTGCCGGCGGTGAAGGGCAGTCTGTTCCTGTCGCTGCTGGGGGTGGATGCGGGGATGCTCACAACGGACCTCATCGTGCTGGGCTGCATGTACGGATTGCTGGCGGGGGCGGCGGTGGGGGCGGCGGCGCTGAGGCTGGTGGCGTTGCGGGGCGGGTGGAAGTGAGGGAGTGGGGGAGTTGGAGAGAGGCCAGGGAGGGAGGAAGGGAGGAAGGGGAGATAGGACATAGAGATAGAGGGGTTAGAGGCTGTTGTGAAGGAAGGCAGAGTGAGGAGGGAGAGGGATGCGGGAATGTTGGAGGAGGGCGGAGGGAAGAGGAGGGTTAGGGCTCGTGGGTGTGGGTTTAGCGGATAGGAACACGACGTGAACTGGAGCAATGATGGAATTTGTGTTGTTCATTGATTGTGAGCAAAAGGTCCTTGGCATCGGTGTCGTACTGGTAGACTTGGCGGTTAGTTTCAGGGCCATCCGCCCGCCGCCTTCGATGTATTGTTGTAGCAAATGTACTGAGGCTGGGTTCCCCCCAGGTTGCGAACGTCTTTCTCGTTTACTGTGAGCTGGATCGTAGCAGTAGACTTCGGAGCATGCATCGTACAGAACATGGATATCGTACAAGGATATAGTATTATCTCGCGGGCTGTATCGTAACCTCGTTAACGGTAGTGGGTGGGCTCTTCCCCGAGCCGCAGCCCGCGCAACTTCATAATTTTACACCGCGTGGTGCAGTACACCTCTTAACGTCACCCTCCACTTGAGGACAGCACTCCTTGTAAGCACACGGGCTTGGCGCTCCTGCATGTGCCCTTGCATTCTCCCTAAAGCCCCTTGCACATGCAAAAATACATACTTCCAATCCTACAGGTAATCATCGACATGCTACTAACACTGTCTGCAGACCTACATCGCACTCGTAGCTCCCAGCTACTGAGCCGCCACCCTGCTCACAAACGGAATGTCGCCATGGCAGTACGGCAATCAACTTTTAACAAGGTCTTGCACACTGGATCGCAGCTCTCAGCTCCCAGACACCGGAACCTCAAGCGCCACATGTGTTTCCACCGTCCATTCGGCATCTAAGCCCCTCCCTCCCTCTCTCCCTCAAGTTCACCTCTACTGCAGCTCCTCTTCACACCGCCACACCCCTCCTCAGCGACCACACCGGCAGTCGCACTCGCTGCTCGCCCTCCTTCCCTCTTCCCTCTTCCCCCTTCCCTCTTCCCTCTTCCCCCTTCCCCCTTCCCTCTTCCCTCTTCCCTCTTCCCTCTTCCCTCTTCCCTCTTCCCTCTTCCCTCTTCCCTCTTCCCTCTTCCCTCTGCCATGCTACGGCACTCCAACGCACACCCTCCAGCCGTCCTCTACCCATCCTGAAGCATCCCGTAAACGGAAATCCTGTCACACTCCCCTACCCCCACTGCACTCCCTGTTCCTAGCCTTCCGCCCACATCACGCACCATGCCTCCATGACTCCTCAGCTCCTCACACGTCAAAAGGACGGAAGCGTCACCCACCCCTACCACTTCAACCAAAAGCTGCCGGCCTGCATGAGCGGGTGTGCCCAGTACGCCCCCAGCGTCATTAACGTCACGGCCAGGTACGGCGCGCGCGCAAACTCCTTCCAGTAATCCGCCGGCAGCTGCTGTCGGCCGTCCAGGATGGCCGCAAAGGGCGCCACGGAGGTACGGGCGGCGACCGCGTCAAACGCCTCGCCGTACTTGGCCCTCAGTCGCCGGTCTCCATGCCAGCATGCGAACAGGTGGTGAGCCATGAGGCAGCCCGAGGCCACCAACATGAAGCTGTTGCCCACCCACAGTGTGTGCGCGGCGCACCAGATGCCCTGGCCGACCATCTGCGGGTGACGGCTGATGCGCATGATGCCGGTTTCCCAGAGGTGGAGTTGGGGCTTGTCCACGGCTGCGACTTCCAGGATGTTGAAGGTGGAGGGGTAGAGGAACCAGAAGGAGATGAAGTTGAGGATCCAGACCAGCTCATGGATGCCAGGCACGCCGCGGAGGTCCCAAAGCGGCAAGCCGTCGTAGCGGTGGTTGATGAAGTAGACGATGGCGACGATGGCTAGGGGAAGGCTTACGAGCGCAAACATGACGCGGTAAGCGCGAGGTCCAATAACCTGCTCGCCGTACGGACGTAGTCCTGCCAAGCCGCTGTGAGCGATGGCAAAGATTAGGAGTATTAGAGCCATTGTCGCCTCGCTGCTGCCAGCTACGGATTCTAGGGCTGCGACGAAGTCGTCCGCGAGGCCCACACCAGGCTGAATCCAGACGAGGTAAAGGGCTCCCATGACTGTAGACAGCAAGGCCGCGAACATTCCCCATGATTGCAAGCTTTGCTTGCCGAGGTCAAACGCTGCTGAGTCCTCGCCTACAAGCTTAGGCGTCGAAGCGGTTACATCCGCTTCTTGCTGCTGTGCTGCCCGGCAGGCAATAGAAGAGGCAAAACGTTTCTGGGCGCCATTTTGTACTTGGTTGCACGCAAAAGGAAGAGCGCGGTGCAAGTGCCGAGGTGCAAGCAACGTCTGCCGTCGACCATGGCTACAAAGCGAAGAACAAGACGTCTGAACTGCGACCCTCATCCTTCAACTTCACTGTTCGATTAACCTTTGCTAAACTGCATGAAATGGCAACTTCACATCGGATGATCAGCAACTTCGGCTCCGCGACCACATGGAACCATGACCACGAAAAGCCAAAGTTTGGCGGGACGCCGACGAAAGTCCTCCATGTTGCAACTGAGCGCATCAAGCGTTCGTGACACATGTCATGAAGCAAATAGCTGCCAAACACAATGCAAACCGCACGATTCCTTATCCTAAACCCGCACCTCTTTGCACCAGATTCCCCCTCTCGAAACATCTTTGCTCTACTCAGCCTTTTAATGTCAACTCTATATTTTGTTACCGCGGCACCACACCGCATCTACAGCGCCTGCGCCCCCTCCTCCTGCTGCTAACCAAAATTTGCCCATTTCCACATGGATTACAACCCTTAACAGTTAACATAAAACCAACCTTGAATCCACTGCAAGACTCGCGCTAACTAGCCTCCTGCACATCGACAAATCGACAAACAGCACACCGTCGCCACTCACGATGCTGATAGGATGACCCACAGCGTACAACGAGCAACGCCCTGAAGCATTAGGCATCTCGTCTCGCCCGCAACGCTATTGTCCCCTCCTGCACTTTTACGGCATTACGCACCCACCCGCAGGCGCGCCTCCCGCGTGTGCTCCAGTTGCAGCAGCTGCTGCCAGCGCTGCTGCGTGAGCTGCTTCTCGCCGTGGCTCAGCACCAGCAGCCGGGCCAACTGCGGGGCAGGGGTGAGACGCGTGCAAACACGGGGCCGTTAAAGCAGGCCCCGCGAATTTTGTGTGTACATACGACAACCCTTCCCATAGATCACAGGTAAGCATCTAGCATCGTGCCATTGTCCTGGGTGCCCCTAAGCCGCATGCTGAATCCCCATCCGCGCAGCACTCACCGTCAGCTTGAGATGGAACTCCTCCGCCGACATCACATCACCACCACCGGCAGCAGCAGCAGCAGCGCCATTGCCGCCTGCTGGTGCGCCATCACCGCCCGCGGCGGCGGCGCCCGCAGCACTTCTGCGTGCATTCACAAAGTACTGTTCCAGCACCGAAGACATGCCCTCAGCTAGCTCGTAACCATCGTGTCCGGCCCGGGCAGCCGCAAGGAAGCTCCGCACCGCCGGAAGCTCGGCAGCAGCCACAGCGGAGTGAGCTGCAGCGGCGGCGGAAGGAGCGGAAGAGGAGGCTGCATCGGTAGACGTCATGGCAACGTCACCGTTGTCGCCGCCTGCCGCGGGCGCGGTAGCACTGTTAGGTGTCACAGCTGCCAGAATGGCTTCAGCTGAAGGGAAGGGTTGAGTGGCATTGAGCGGTACCCGGATGCGCAGGGAGTCACGCAGCAGCGACCTGTGGCAGCGGGCAGCAACACAAAGGACGGAGTGAAGCGGGGCATGCATCAAGGCCGAGTGTCAAAAACCCCAACTGCGGCGAGAGCTATGCTGGGGGCTGTGCCCATGCGAGGACTGCCGTATGCGTCACGGCTTTTCGGCTACCACGGTCCTGAATGCAACCAGGGGCGGCCTTGCAGCAGCTCTCACCTTCCCTGCGTCATGACGATCAGCGGCAGGTCCACGGGTACGGGGTGCTGGTACGTCTCAAAGTCGTACATGAGCTCCTGCTGCCGAGCTACCGCCATAAGCGCCTGGGAAATAGAGGTTGTTGGTTTGGATTCATCCGTATGGTATTCATCGCTCCGCATGACAGGTAGAGGAGAGGTAGAGGACACAGCCGCAAACCTTTTCCCCTTCTCGCTTCCGCTCTCGTTCCAAGATCAGCACGCTGTCCTGCACACCAGCAGTAGTGCCCTCCGCATCTGTCCTTCCCCGCATGGCACCCTACCTGCATGCTGGCCACTCCCCGGCTGCTGAGCTGCCCGGGCGCCATCACGGTCTCGTCCAGCAGCAGCAGGGTGCCGGGGGGCAGCTGCAGCGGGGAGGGGGCGGTGCGCTCCCGGGACAGGTCGCGAGCGGGAGCCCAGGAGACCCTGCAGCAGCAGCAGCATGGGTAAGCAGCAAGGGTAAGCGACGTACCCCGACATTGGAAGTGTGTCAGCGGCCAAACATATCCTCATATCCTTTAACAGGAGCAGAAGCATCCCAAAGACATGCTTACAGGCGCGTCCTCTGTACGCACCAGCCACCCCGCCGTCTTATATGTCCCAGACCCTGCCGACCAACCCCGTTGACCTCCCTCCTCCCGCACCCACCCGTTGCACGCCTCCACTGTGAGCGGCAGAGCGGCGCTCAGGGGCACCAGGGAGCTGACGGCCGCATGCAGCGCACGAGCCAGCGGGCCGGGGCCGCGGGGACCCAGTCGCTCAGCCGCCAGCACGGGGCCACACGGACCGGGGGTGCTGCCTGCTGCGGCGCTGGGTGCCTCCGTGGCAGCAGCTGCAGCTGGACACCTGCAAGTGAGGCCCGGTGCAGATCGGTAGATCGGTAACACCAGCCGTGGTCAAAGGGAGCGGCTTCGCCCACTCGCTCCACCCGCCTCAGGCCTCGCCCACTAACATCCCGCATGGGCATGAAGCTTGCTTTCTCCATCTCCATTACCACCCCGCCACCTACCTGCACAGGTTGAGTGCCAGCTGCCCCAGCGCCGCGGGGTCCCCCCTGCCGGCAACCCGCGCCACCAGCTGCAGCAACACGTACTCGGCAGCCACGGCGTCGCCGCCTAGCGCCCACCGCAGCAGCCCCAGAGCCCGCTCGCGGAGCTGCTGGGGACCCGGCGCGGGGCTGGGAGAAGGGTAGAGGCCGGTCGTGGCGGTGGCTGCGGCTTCCGCAGGTGCTAGGGTGATGTCTTGTCCGGCTGCCGGGGCAGCGTCGGCTGGGGCCGGTGTGGTGGGAACCAGGGAGGGAGAGCGACGCACAATGATGCCGTGAAGGCGCATGACCTGCACGGTGAAGTTGACGATTTAAAGGTCGGGTGGACATGTATTGCAAGGGCCAACAAACACGCACGGTGCGAGTAGCAGCATAGGGCTTGATTGCAACATGAACGACGCAATGTACGAAAAAGCCAACGCCCCTGCTGGCCCTGTCAGCCTCAACATGACGCATGCAGCAGCACCAGGTGTTACAGCTTGCGTCCTTAGCTGCTCTTACCTTGCTGGTGGGCGGGTGCGCTGCCCGCATGGCCTCAAAAGCCAGGCGCTCGCCCTCCTGGTGCCGCCCAGAAACACCCCCCGCTGCATGGTTGCCTGAGGCGTCAGCCGATGCGTTGCCAGCGCTGTCAGGATGCTGGTTGGCGTTGCTGCTATTGTCCAGGCCCAGCGAAGCCAGCTCATGTGCCAGGAAGGGGTCATCCTGGTTGTCATACTCCAGCGCGGCGAGTTGCGGCATGTGCGACAGGATGCCGATGACCTCAACCACCTCATGCAGGACCAGTGCTGGAGCGTTGTCGTACAACTGCATGCATATGAGTGGGGGTGCAGGACGCTCAGATGTGACCAAGTAATCCTGTCTAACGGCGGGCGGGATCTGGCGGCGATGTAGCGGAGGCGACGACCCACGGCTTATGCCCATCGCGTATAACAAAACAGTTGCCAGTCCACTTTGATATCCCCGTGAATCGTATCCATTACTTACATACACCATGCAGCTGCCAGGCACCTCGCCCACAAGCTCCTGCTGCCCCTCCTGTGCCTGCGCACCCGGCGCCGCAGCGCCCTCTCCAGCCGCTCCAGCGGCACTTCGGGTGTGAGGGCAGCGACCCTCCCGACAGCCAGCCCCGCATGCGCCGTCATCCCTCGCAGCGCGCCCCACATCGTCGCTGCTGCCCCCGTCCGACCCGCCTGCCGCAGCGGTGCCAACAGTGGCAGCAGCCGCAGAGGGATCCTCACGCCGGCGAACGCGCGGCCTTGCGGTGCCTTCATCCTCCTCCATGTCCGCCGCTTCAGGCGCTGTCCTGACAGGTGCAGAGGCCGGGCCGGGCAGGCCCTGGTCACCTGCCAAGTCCGTGTCTAGGGTGTTGTCATCGTGCTCACCCTGCGGTGGCTGCTGCTGAGCCAAGGCGCCGCGTGGGGAGAGTGAGGTAGGGTTGGTGCCACGGATGGAGTCTGCGTCCATTGCGGCGTCTGCGTCGGAAGAGCGCTCGCGCTTGGCACGACCCGGCTGCTGCTGTTGCTGGAGCTGTGACTGCTCTTGAGTCTGGCCCTGAGGCTGAGCCTCCTCAGCAGGGCCTCCAGCGCAGGACGTGGTGCGGTCCTTTTCTGCTTCTGTAAGGGACGCCGCCGCAACCGCAGCAGCGGTTGAGGCAGATTGCGCTGCTGCCGGCACGGCCCAGTTGCTGAGCCCTGGAACCGGCACGCAGACGATGGGGCGGCGCTCCCAAACGACAGGGAACCCAGTGCTGCTGTCCTCTGAGTGCTCCGGCATATCGGGATCGCAGAACTTCGTCGTGACCCATTGCCCGTCAGGTCGCTGGAACGCACCCACGTAGTACTCCGGGTTTAGCAAGTCCTGCACCTGCGATAACCAATGTGGGCGAAACAAACAATTCAATATAATTTGAGTATCCTGTGTGCGGATAACACTAGGACAGAGCGACGGTTCCGAAGCGCGCCAAAATTGCGCCATGCCTACCATGCCATAAAAACGCACTAGGCTGTGATGCGGCAGCTGCTCCGCGGCTTGCTTGTGCAACAGCGGGATCTGCGAGGTATTCAGACCAAGCGTTCGCGCTCAAGATTAGCGTCACTGCTTGATAACTTAGCATTTCGCGAAGCGCAATCTCTGCTCAACCTACCTCCCCTGCTCCCAATCCCGCGATTGCCTGCTCGAACTGCTTTACCACTTCCCAGTCGCCATCTGCTGCCGTGGGACAACCTGCCTGCCTGTAAAGTTTCTGAATCACCTCAACTGGGTGCGCAACAATCTCAGGCACCGTCATTTTTACAAAACTGAGTAAGAGGGACACTGCTAAGGTAGCTGAAGCTGTGGAAGTCTTGTACTGTACACCTGACGACGATGCCCGTCGGTACGTACGGCCGGTTCCGAAGACATTCAAATGCACTTACACCGTCCAAGCACCTCGCCTTCTGTGTGTTGCAGTTAATATATCGTCGTCGTTTCCTGTAGTGCTGTCTCATAGTCTCCGAACACTCCGTGTAGTATCCATGAACCGGCTCGTCGAGATGGGGCGAACGCGAAGCTCTCGCACATGTCTTTTTGGGGTCAGGGAACTGTATTTTTGGGCTGCATCGGACGGGTTCTTGTACCATGAAGGGTTTTTGTTGTCAGGGGGACCCGGGGGAAAAGCTTGATGCGTGCCCTTACCGCTTACTCAGTGACTCCTGGCGCTTCAGTGAACTGCTCGTTACCAATTTGGTACACGCAATACCAGGAGCGGGGGACTGGGAGCATGCCGGATCTGCGGGCGTTGGTAACGACGACACGGTGCTGCAATTGTGCTGCCTCCCCATTCCCAGCACACCAACCCGGAACCAGACGAAGCAATAAGGTTGAAGCCCTCCTGCCACTAGAGGGTGTGCAGCTGTGCACAGCTGCCACCAGAGGGTGTACACGGGCCACGTATTTGGCTCTTCCGCGCTACATTGTAGGCCGCAATGCGCTATGGCAAGTAAGGTGCCACGCCCACTGCTGGCCTGTCACACGCATGCCCCAAGCTGGCATGCAACGGTTGTGCACCCTCAAACAGTATCACAGGTGTATGTTTCGCTTCATACAATACTACCGGTACTTGAAACCCTCGGGAATTGCGCTCACACTCATCTTCTCCTTTACGGCACTTTCACCCATCTTGCAAACCTCTCGTCACTGGGTCTCTCATCGTCGCAACAAAGCATCTTACGCGTGGGGTTTAGGTTGCTGGGAGTAAACACCTAGGCCACCCCCGGCGCCCCTCCTCCAGCACACGAGCCCAGCCTAACCCGTTCGCCACCATTCCACACCATTCTACGCCGCCTTTTACGAAGTCCCATCGATCCGCTCGTATTGTGGAGGGTACTCCGTGTTTGATCTGCCTAGCAAAGCAACCCCTCATCACGGTCCCTCCAGTCAGATCCGCTGCCACTCTCCCCTCAGCTTCCTGTCACCTCGTTCTCGCAAAAAGCCAAGCAGCAAGCACAGTCAACGCCATCTCAGCCACAGCCCCCGACGTCTCAACACAAAACGCCGCCGGCATTCGTCTCTCATCTCTTCCAAAAACGCACGAGACACGGCAAGTGAACCCACATCTCCCTCCATACACAACACTCATGCATGCATCAACTCACCCTCCACCTCTCTACCACCAACCCACCGCCTGCCTACCGCCCCCTTACTCCTTCTTGCCGCCAAACAGGCCCCCAAACGCGCCAAAGGTGGCCTTCACAGCGCCCCAGTTGACCACCGGCTCGTCGTACTTCTCAATGAGTGTTTGGAATTTGGGGCTGGCGCGCAGCTTGGCTAGGTTCTTGTCACGGCGGATCTGGTCAAAGTTGTCGAATCCGGAGGCCATGGCCAGGTCTAGCGACTTCAGCGCCTCCTCAACCTGCGGGGTTGTTGCGGGGTTGAGCGCGGTTTGGGTCTAGGAAAGAGATGTCGTACGTAACAACTCACAGGCCATGAGCCACAGGGTGTAATATGTCCCCGGTGGGGCTCATGCTTGACCTAGGGTAGCTGCCATGCTGGACGTCTAACATGTGTTCTCCTGAGTGCCTCAACTCCACTTCCTCCGCCGCACCACAGCCACTTCGTTCTCCTTACCGCACCCACCACTCAGCCCCACCACACCCATGCCAGCCCGGCCCTCCCCCCCAACCCGCTCACCTGGTCCAGCATGCTGTAGCAGCAGGCGATGTTGTACTGCGTCACCTTGTAGATGGGCGTGTGGCGCGAGAAGTTGTCGCCCACGTAGTTCTTGGGCTCCAGCGAGATGATGTTCTCAAACTCAATCAGCGCGCCCTGCAGGGGGGTCAGAGATATACCAAACCACAGGTTATGGCACAGCAATGGGGGGAGCCATAATAGATCAAACGATGGGAAACCACGAATGGGGGAGGTCGGGCGAGGGCAAGGGCGGGCACGGGGCAAGGGTAAGAGGATGGCAGGGGAGGGGCAAGGGCGGTGGACAGGGTTGAGGCCGGGAAGGGAAGAGGACGAGCGCCCACGCATGCAGGCTAGAGCACCAGCAAGCAGCTCTCCTGGTGCATGCAGCAGCCAAAGCGCAGCGCAGCCGCACCTGGATGTCGTTCTCCTTGAACTTTGCGAGCGCATCGTCAAACATCTCCCGCCGCTTGCGCTCGTCCTCCTTGCGCTGCATGTAGTTGCGCGCCTGGATCTCCTTGGTTCCGGCGCCGTAGTTGCCGCCGGCTCGCTCCTTGCGCCACATCTTCTCAACCTCGTCCATGCCATCCTCCTGCGGGCAGCACCACCAGTATCAGCAGAGATGTTGCGTGAACAAAGCAGCAGGTTACGGTCAACGGTCAACAGCAGCAGCGCAGCAGGAGGTGCTATGTGGTGCCATAGCAGCGTGCAGCATGCGGCTGGAGGTGCGGCTGAAGGTCCGCATAGCCTGCCCGAGCTGACCCAACGGATGGTAAGCATGCGTGGTGACGACCACCGGAACGGGCGGAAGCTGCAAGAGGTGCTGCTCCGACCTGGCCCCACAGGACCTTTGGATGCTCCATGCCACCGGCTCCCATGCCACCTGCCCAGTCACGCCACACTACGCTACGTTGCATGGACCGTCAGTCCATTCCCCGCAGTGCTCTGCCACTCCCTTGCCTCATCTATGCCACGAAGCCGGTATCGTGCAGCGGTCGCCAATAGCCAGCGGACATGGCCCATGGGTCATCCGTTCATTCTGAGAGCACCCCCCTTGGCGCCAAGACAGGCTTTCCGAAGGGATGCGAGCTATCGCTGCGTGCGCTGTTCCGACTTCGTGGGAGCACTCCCTCTGCTGCTCCTGGTGCGCCTCCTGCTCAGTGCATGCTGCATGGGAGACGAGCCCCCTCCACCAAACGCCTCCACGGGGACCCATACCCGCCGCAGCACACACGCCCCGTTGTATGCCACACGCTGCAGCTGTGCCGCACAGGCCGCACGGCCTGCTGTGCCTCTCTCCTTCCCCGCTGCTTCCTTCCCTTGTGCCTCTCCAGCTGCCCCTTCCTGCCACTCCCAGCGTCCTTCAGCCTCACCCTCCCCTCCCCGCCCAGACTCCAGTTGCTTTACTCCTCACTTATCCCCACCCCTGTTCCCCCGCCCCGCCCCCACCTCCAGCGCGCTGAGGTCCCCGAAGTTCTGCTTGAGCTTCATGTACACGGTGCCGCTGCGGGTGCGGATGGCGTACATGATCTGGCGGGGGGAGGGGGTGAGGGAGGGGGTGAGGGAGGGAGGGAGGGAGGGAGGAAAAAATTATGTAAGTGAAACAACGAGTCCCAATCCCAGATCCCGACTGGGAGGGAGGGAGGGAAAGAAGTATACCCAATGTGTTGAATGAGAATGAGGGAGGGAGGGTGTGGGGCCTTATGAAGACTTAAGACGCTGCGGGAGGGTCCAGCGGAGGGCTGCAAGGTAGAACTGTACTCGTGGCGTCATTGGAGGTTCCGAAGTCAGGCCCAACGAGCCATGCGCCCGCGCACCATGCCTCCATGCACCCCACATCGGTTGCTGGAATACGTAACTGCCAGTCGCAATCTCCGCAGCCAGCGCGGCCCCGTCTGATCAGTCATCAACCCCGCCCCGCGGCCCCGGCCCCATCCTACCTGGCCATAGTTCTCCGCCTTCCACACCTCCGTACCGAAGGAGGCGCTGATGAGCACGATTTTGTCACCCGGCTGCGGCGCGGGGAACGGGCGCAAGCGGCGTCGGGGGATAGGGTCGGGTAAGCAAGGGGAGCGGCAGCGATGTCGTGATTGGATATATTCACAGGGCATACGGTGCCACGGTCAGGGCGCTGCGATAGAAGGGGGGGAACGCAGCACACCGGGTCTCCGTGCAGGACAGGGAGCCGTGCATGGGAAGATTGCAGCACGCTAGCGCTTGCTGCTGCTGCCACGTGGTGTGTTGGCTGCCCAGCGGATCTGTTGTTAGCTGCTGCCGCGTTGCCTTTCCAACCCCTGACCGCCTATTGCTACTATCCCTGCGGCTGCTGCTGCTGCTAGGGCTGCACTGCCTGCCAAGAGGCCGCTGCAAGGCCCCGGCTTGCCTGGACACGGGGGTCGACGTTGCCCAGCTTGGGGTTTACTTCGACGATGTAGGCGCCGCCATCGTTTCCACGCGCGAACTTGAAGCCAAGAGGCTTTGGCAGGTCAATCTACGTGTGGTTGGATGGGCAACAGTTAGGCCGGCACAGCTAAGCAGTCGGTACAGAAGTACACAGTAGGTCTAACTCTCCCCCACCTCGATGTATGAAGGTTCAGCGTCGGTAACCGCAGAACCAGCTTTTGTGCCAGCCTGTGCTTGCACGGCTACTTGACGCTTCGCCAACACGGCCTGTGAAACCGTCCAAAATGCTAATCGTTGATGGGCTGGACTATAAAAGGTTAAGCGGCATCTAAGTTTGCTGGAGCATAACCACTTACACACCTTGGGTACAGCGGTTGCGACCGCGAACGACTGGTGCGACCTGCGCTAAATTCATATAAAAGAGTGTTTGCTACGATCTTAGGTAGAAATGTGCTGTTTCGTTTAAGTGTTGCCAACGAACCTATCGCTCGGGCAGCGGGTGCAAGAGACGGGCCGCACCACCACCGCGCTAGGCACCGCGCTTGCAGTGCTGACCACCTCACGGCGAAGGACGGGCTTGGTGGCCAGCATTTTCTATATATCTATCAAGTAAAATAATGACCGCGGCGAGACAGATAGGTTTGCAATGGATGCCCTATTGGCCCCTCCTTTTCGCAGGGCCCTCGGCATCCGTTTATCATGCATTTCTCATGTTATCTTTCATACCACTTATACGTAAGCCGTCCCACAAGAAGCAATATAATGCGGCTTTGCGTATGATGCCCCTTGTGATAAGAACATAGTTGCTTGGGAATGTCCACCGGCGCATCCCCATCGAAACAGCACCGTGATCTGTGGCTAACAGGCGCCCACCGAGCGCACTCGGTGGCATATGATGGCAAAGCATGATCTACATTCGTCTTCGCCATGGTTGCATTACCAGCAGCGGCAAGCAACCGCCCATCCATCACCGTTGGAGCTCGGTCACCAAGTTGCAAGGACAGCAAGGGCACACAACGGGAGGCTGGGGTATTCGGTGTTCATTGGGACAGCGGGAATGCTGGACTCCGCCGACTTGGAGCCTTACTTTCATTGCTGCTCAGCGCTCTGCACTACCGGTACTGCCGGATTGGCTTGGGCTGCCCTCCGAACCCTCCTTAGAAGAGGCTCGCCTTCACACGGGGATTGCTGGGTTGCAGTATGCCGCGCGCCCAGGGGGGCTAGCATTAGGATGCGAAGCCTGTATACGCACGGGAAACATAGTACGCTTGCTATCTTCCCTTCATCTCCTTGTGTTTGCCTGCTTCCCCTGGTGCCTCCGGCACTGGAGGATTGCATCCTCCGGCACTCCACTCCTTAGGCTGGAACAGCGAACGCCTATAACCGTCCAGCCAACAAACCCTGATTTGCCGCATTCTGGATCCTCCTTTCTGGGAAGCAACGTGGGGTTGTCCAGCCATGTTGCGGCAGCCTTAGGGTGGGTTAGGTGGGTACGGATTGATGGTGATGCAGTTCGATACGCTGTAACACCATGTGGAACCCCTGGTAGGCATCATGCAGGTGGGCAGCAGCGAATCCTCTCATCCGAGCTAAGGATTGAAGTTTTACAAGCCCAGATTGACCTGGATTGTTAAAGGGTTTTGTTCGCTAACCGTCTGCCGGGCACTCACACTTGCCCAGGAGGACCCATGGGTCTTAAGACCTAACACTCCGCCGTATTCTAAACAAACCTCGCTACAATAGCCAGAAGCATTGTGACCAGGTCAGAAGCGAGCACACCTGCACAACCTAGTCTAAGTTACAGATGGTCGATCTTCGTGCGCTATATCTCCAGCCTGCGCAAGAACGTGCATGAGTAGACCTCCAGACTTGATCCCTTCTCACAATGCGCCCCCATCCCCTAGCTTGCTGTACGTCCCTGCAGCCCTTGAGCATGCACCAGCGCTGCCGCAGTTTGCACAGGGCCCTAATTACCATGTCGTCGTACGGAGAAACATTCAGGTCAACCACACGTCCGTGTTAGTTAGAGCAACGTATACAGCCCAATAACCGCGCATGCAGCCCCTAGGCCGCACAGTTGCAATGCCCTTGGCTCCCAGGCAAGTATCCGATGCCCCTGCAAAGCATACCTTCCCCACGGGTACTACTCTCGAAAACTCTCAGAGCCACGACCAACCTAGCCCATATCAACAAGACTGGGACCTAGACACTACAACTCTCATAACCTTCAGTCAATAAAGAGCAAAGCACACGAGTTGGCACGCCCAACGACGAAACAACGACGAGCTTGTTTGCAGTACATAGACATACCAGCGCTATACCAGCGCCCACGTAAGGCAGCCAAGGCCTCAGCCCCTAGACTTCAAACGGGTGAAAGCCCCTGCCGTCCGATCTCCATTGCCTCCGCTGGCGGTGCTCTGCAGTAGCACCAAGAGGTATGGCTGCTCACTCCGCTAAGGTCCTTGACGCTAAAGTCCATGACAACACCGTCTCTCTAGCCGGATCACATGCCCCTGCATGCCATCACTTCTCCTTCTTCTTCTCCTTCTTCTTCAGAGTATCCGCCATGGCTCCCTTCATGATGATCACCATGCTCTGTGAGAACTTCGCATACTGCGTAGGGCTGACTGTGGTTGACACGTGGCGCTTGCCATCGTTTGCCCTGATAAGACAGACGTATTCCGCCTTCGGGTTCGGCTTCTTGCTCTTACGAGGCTTCATATTGGTCCGCTTCATCGTCACCCAAACGGTGCCCGACTTGTTGCGTTCATACATCTTATGCAACTCGCTTAGGAACGGATCAGGCTCAAGCAATACCATGGTGCTTGCGGCAGCGCTCACGCGTAGACGATGTCCTGTGGTATCAGACTAGGCCTTCAACTATTGTCCGTAAATATTATCGTCCGGTGTTAAATGAAGTAAAGTTGTGGTAATGGGCTGCCCAATTCGGCAATTCGCGTGGAACGCCACCTGTACGGGATGGTTGCCCCAACCGCCTTTGCTTGAGGCGTCATCATGGCTCAAAATACCGATTGTCTTTGACAGACAGGGGATAGTTGAGCTCTACCTTGTAATGTATTGTGAGTTCACGCAGACGTCGAGTCCACTTCCTTCATCTTCGCAATCGTGCTTACACAACTTGCTTGCTGACAGCGAATCAACAAATACGCAGTTGTGAGGGGCTGAAGGCTTGATCTTGGCGTCCGGAAAGCGAGACGTGACACGTCGCCGTGATGGCGTCGCTCTTCAACTTATCCAACCTGAAGGCGGGGCTTAAGAAGTATGGCAAGGCCGGTCTCTATACTTATATAGGTCTTTCTACATGCGTCACCGCAAGTGGGTAAAGCTGCAAGGCACTTGCGTCCGGTTGCTGCAACCGGCTTATGGCATGCTTATGCCGTTTCGTGGGTTGATGCAGGCTTCTACGTCGCCATAGAAAGCCACGTCGACGTGCAATCTATTCTCGGCTTGCGGAAAGGTCCGTGTACCTGGGAATATGTTTCAGGGAACTGCAGGAAAGGAGAACTGTCCCCGGGGCATTTCGTCGATAGCGTGTCGTTCCGCGCATCTGCCTAGGGGCAGTGGGTACCATTGCACTATAGGGTTTCCACGGCACTGGCAGGATGTGGGTCTGATGGGTGCGCTGCGGGCCGGGTATGGTTTTGGCCTGGCCGGGAAACATCCTGCAGGGACTGCTATCTCAGCAGCCTCTCACGCCCCTAACCCCATTCCGCAGATGATGAGGAGGGGAAAGAGCCTTCCTTCATGGAGCGCTTCCTCATAGGCAAGGGATCTAACCTCGCGCTCGCCATTCTCTGCTCCAAGATGCTCATTCCCGTCAAGGTGCCAGCGGCCATGGCGCTCACGCCGTACGTGCAGAGGTACGACGGGATGGTCATGGGGAACCTAGAGCGCACTTGTTACACAGTCGTAAGCAAAGACCCCTAGCATGCCGATCACGGAGGCAACCCCGTGAGTCGGCGGTTCGGTGGGAATGCGGTGTAAGGGGAGCCATGGTTGCAAAGGAGAGCCTTGCCAAGTTCAGAACGGACTGTCCGGAATGCACATGTGCGCGTGTTCGTTACATGCTATTGCATTGCTTGCGTTTGCACGCTGCCAGCTGCGCACACGTTGCAGGGGTTATTGCAACATTAGCTGCATGCCAGTAGCCCCTAAAGACATGCTCCCCGCGCTCCCTTAAAGGCATCTGGCTTAGGTTTCAAGTCGCCATGTGTGCCTGTTACGCAGGTTGCTAGAGAAGCTCGCGCTGAACGCGCCCAAGGTTACGCGTCCATAGGATGCCTAAAGTGGCGGGGCCACTTGTGTGGCTTGCTGGTGGGCATGGGTGGGGCCCAAGGAAGCAGCGAGGCAATTACTTGTTGCAGCAGCTTAACGAACTATGGGTAGGGGGGAGGAGGAACCAGTTGTGCCAGCGTATGGAAGATGTGCAGGAGGGATCTTGAGTCACGGGGATGTACGCTTAGGCCAGCTCAGGCAGGATTTTTTACTATAGGGCGTTAATTTCATGCGGGTGATTTGCATATATGGACTAGGAAGTAGCTTGAGACTTGGGACCAACAGTTGCAGGAAGTAGTCAGGACTGGTGTTTGGTCGGTTTACTTGGAATGGAGGGCGGAGGGGTGCCCTAGTGACATTTGGGTCTTTGATTTCTTGAGTAATCGGCAAGACGACCGTGCTTGTTGGGCAGTAATGGTAATCACGTGTCGATCGCACACGTCATCGTACGGTTACCAAAAGGCGCCGACGCCGAGTTGCGTTGGCCTGACCCAGCCTAGATATCTAGAATGGCCACAAATTAACGCTGAAAGCAACATTTTTATTCTCCATACTGGGAGTATACGCTTAGAGCTCACAGGTGGATGACAGACTATGTATGCCTAATGTCCAGCCTCCGCGGGTATCCGCAATCTTAGGATCAAACAACTTGCAAGATGCCGCGTGTAGACGTTTGGGACATCCCGGCGGAGTCTCCGGAGAAGCAGCAGGCGGAGCCCCTCTGGGTTGGATTGACAAGGGCAAAGATAGGCGACCGGTATGATATAGGCAAACAGCTTGGACAAGGAGGCTTTGGCAGTGTGCAAGTAGTGATCGAACGAGGGACTGGCAAGGAATATGCCTGCAAAAGCATTGTTAAGCGGCTTAGCCTGCCGAACGTCAGCGTTACAAAGCAAAATCAGCATCTGGAAAACATCCGGCGTGAAGCGCTCATCCTAAGGCGCTTGAGAGGAGTAAGTCCGGGGCTTTTTAAGCCCTCATCTTAGCGCATGTCTCAACCGTCAAGTAGCTGCGGACTTTCCCTGACTGTGCAACGTTGTCAGTGATGCTAGTAGATGAAACCGTTCCACCAGCGGCAGTCTCGTGTGCCGTTGGGTGTCTTTTCGTTGGGTGTCCAAGGATGCAACAGCCATTCAAGCTGTCCCTCAGCGTGGAGCGGCATTCATGTATGCACCTACAAGGTGTTCTAGGTGCCTGACCTCGTCGCCCTGCATCCGCCCATCCCCTATCTGCACCGCACTTCACTGCTCCACCTCATTAAATTCGGTTCACCACGATACCCGTTCCCACCGTCCCCCACCTCATCCCAGTTTGTACCAGCTCTAATCACCGTGGTACCCCTGCTAACCCATCTTCCCAATGCCCTCCCTGCACCTGCCCCCGGTGCATGCAGACGCTCAACGTTGTTCACCTGGAGGATGTGTTCGAGGATGAGGAGGCCGTGCACATGGTCATGGAGTGGTGCAAGGTGGGTGCTCGTGTGTGTTCAACAAACCGGCCGTGTTTGTGTGTGTTGAGGCGGGCCGCGGACAAGGAGCAGGAAGTGGTCCGGAGGGCTCCCATGGGTTTCCGCAGGCTGCTCCAAGGCGGCCTCCAACCGCCATGAGAGTAGCTGGGTGGCATGCCACGACAGCCATGCCACCCAGCTACCTCGTTTATGCGCCTATGTGGTTTGAGTATTGGGTTGCGTCATTCATGCCAAGTCACTCACAATCACTATGCTAATGACTGTTAGGCCGTCATGCAAACGGACGCACATGTAAGTGTCATGTGCATGTGCATGTCTCACGAACGGGGCCGCCACCACCTGCTGCGTTGCCCTGTGGCTGCCTTGTAGGGCGGGGAGCTGGTGCACCGAATCAACACCCGCCATTACAGTGAGCGCACGGTAAGAGGGAACTGCAGGGGCGCAACGTCGAAGGGAGCAGGCGAATCATGCTTGCCTGCCTGCCTGCACGTCCCATTTGGGTCGGCTGCTACGCTGACGAGGGAGCTTGGGGAACCACTTTTGGGTAGCATTGCATTGCATGGTTGTTGCGGTGCCGGGGTACACGGCGGGGCTGTGGCCGGAGATGAGGTATGATCCCTTGAAGTGAGTACAGAGAGCACGCGGTGCGTGGAGAGGTGCTGGGTAGGCAGCAGCGGGAGAGAAGGAGCAACAGCAGCACAGCAGGAGCAGGGACGGATCCAACCCAGTGAGGAGCAAGGGCTGGGAGGAAGGGCGGAGTACGGGAGCTGACCTGCAGGTGGTCCTCAGCACACCGAATCGGACAGCAGCAGCAGCAACAGGGACATCATCTCTCCGTCCCTCCTCCTGGAACCACAATGCCCACCTTTCAGACCGTCTGCCCAACCTTATAGCCCGTCTGCCCACTCGCCGAGTCCACCCCGCTCCCTCGACCCTCCCGACGCTGCCCACGTTCCCCTCCTATAACCCACTCAAACCCCGCCCCCCCGCGCCCCCAGGCTGCCAGCTACATGCGTGCCGTACTGCGCACGCTGGCCCAATGCCACCACCTGCGCATCCTGCACCGGGACATCAAGCCGGGTGAGGGAGGGCTGCTACGTCATTGAGCATTGAGGGATCTCTGTGAGCTTACATTCCGCCTGTTTTACCTCCGGCCGTGCGCTTGCTTGCAAACCCCTCCCCGCCGCCACCTTCCAGGCAACTTCATGCTGCTCACGGATGCTGACAACGCGCCCGTCAAAGCCATAGGTGGGTGGGTGGCAGGTGTCACCCTCGGGATGCTCCGAAGGCTGAGAGCCGCCGCCGCTTGCAACACCTCGCATGCGTGTTTACATGCTCTGCACGCACGCCAGGATCGGGATCGCCAGGTTCTGCTGCTGTTTCATGCGATCTTACCTGATTCCGTGTGCATCAAGGGCTCTCTTGTCTCTTCCCACCTGCTTCCTACGCGCGTCGCTGACAGCGGGCACCTGCGGTTACGGCTGCTACCGCTGGCCACACCGCCGCCCCTGCCACTCCTCCTGCTCTCCCACCGCCGCTCCTCCCCCTGCTCCCCCCCTGCCGCTCCTCCTGCTACTCTTCCCCCTGCTCCCCCCCTGCCGCTGCAGACTTCGGACTGGCGGTGTTCTTCGACCCCAAGAAGCTGCCGCGCACCGACCTGGGGCTGGAGGGCACGTGAGTAGGGAGCGAAACGGAGGGGGCTTGGCGCGGGGGCGTAAGAGGAGAGGGTGAAACCCACCATTACCTAGGCCAGGGCGCGCGGGTGTGGCATGCTTGTTCGCGGACAATTTACAGAGCACAGAGCGCGCGGCGGGCTTCTCTCCCCCTCCCTTCCCCTCGTGCGGGATATGTTCCCCTTTTTATCCCCTAACCTCCTCCTCCTCTCCCACCCTGCAGCCCCCACTTCATGGCCCCCGAGCAGCTCTCCGGCAAGACGGAGCCCGCCTCCGACATCTGGTCCGCCGGCGTCATGGCACACCAGCTGCTGTGCGGCAACGTGCCCTTCGACGACGTGCGCAACCCCAGGGCGCCCGCACTGTCGCTCGTGTGGTGAGGGCGGGCTCGTGCTAGACTAGGGGTGTTGGGCATAGCGGCGTCGCTCGTGTGGTGAGGGCGGGCTGGGCTGGGCTGCCCCTGGGGCTATGTGATGGACTGGGTTGGGCGCTTAACCCCAACGCTGCCTAATCATCCCCATCCCTGCACGCTCTGCGAACCCTTGCGAGCCCCTGCTCACCCACCCCTCCCTTCAGGGTTGTCTCAGGATTCAATTTTCACAGCTTGGTATGTTTTATTTGTCCCCATCTGTCCCTCTCCACCCCAGGCGCGCCATTCTGACGGAGGAGCCCCGCTTCACGCAGCGCTCCTGGTCGGGCATCTCGGAGCTGGCCAAGGACTTTGTGAGGTCGCTGCTGCGCAAGTGAGTGCGGTCGCGGGCGGGTGGGTCGCGGGCGGGTGGCAGGGGTGGTGGGTCCCGGGTGGCGCCCTCTGTCGGTAGTGGTAGTGGTTGATAGGGGCCGCGTAAGGCACGAAGGGAGCGCGCGTGTGTAGGACGGAGAATGCTACATGTTCTTCCGTCCTGCAGGCTCTTGCCTGCTCCTGTCTTCCAAGAGACGGTGCCTCCTCCCGCTATCCTTCTCTTTCATCCTCGCCTGTCTGCTCCCCTCCTCTCCCTGCCGCGCTAGGGACCCCAAGGATCGCCCCACCGCCAAGCAGGCTCTCGCACACCCCTGGCTTCAGGTAAGCAGCAGCATGGGGAGCTGGCTGCCATGGGGGAAACGTGTTCACAATGCAAAAGTGTACAGGCTTATTCCTTCCTTCCATCCTAGCGTTCCTCCGACCTGTCCGACCCCTCTGTCGTGTCCATGCGTATGTGTGCAGGGCAAATCCGACCAGCGCAATCAGGGCGCTCCGCTGGCTCGTACCGTTGTACAACGGCTTCAAAAGTTTGGCGTTGAAAGCGCGCTGAAGCGCACCGTACTGGACATGATCGCTAACGACCTGATCAACCGCCACATCGAGGAACTGAAACTGCAACAGCAGCAACAACAGCAGCAGCAGCAAGGCCAACAACAGCAGCCCTCAGAGCCGTCTTTCCACGCTGGCATCTCCACTGCTACCCCAATGACAGCAGCAGCTGCTGCTGCACCTGCTGCTGCTGCTGCTGCATCCATCGACCACACCTCCGGCGGCCCAGCCGGCGTCGACGCCGGCGAAGCGACGCCGCAAGGCGCCGCCGCCGCGGCAGCGGCCGGCTCGCCGCTACCCCAGCCCCCGCCGCCGCCAGCTGCGGACGCCGCCGCCGCCATCCGCCTTCGCCAGCTGGCCGCTCAGGACCTGTTGCTACGGTCCGGCGGCCTCGCCCCCAAGCATGCCACCGTGCATGCGGGCGAGGAGGCGCTTGCAGCGCTGCGGCGGGGACAGCTGCTAGGGCTGCCTAGGCCACCGTCCATGTGCGGCATCGCACCCGCACCGGGGGCTCCGTTAGCAGCGGCGGCGGCGGCAGCGGTGGCGGGCGCGACAGGAAGGATACAAGTGCCGTACCCCCCGCAGAACCCTCCGCAGCGTCGATCGCATGATCTGGGTCAGAAACCGCCGCTGCTGCTGTCGTCTGGCGGGGCGGCAGCAGCGGATGGCTTGTACTCGCGCTCCGCGACCAGTCTTGGGCTGCTAAACTCGCAGCAGTTGCATCAACAGGATTCCACTCAGCAGCAGCAGCCGCAGCCGCAGCAACCGCTGCAGCCTTCTCCTACAGTTGCGGAGCAAGCAGCCGCGGGAGCGACAGCGCCGGCCAAGCCGCCGTCGCCGCAAGCTCCGCCTCTGCCCATGCGCTACTCCGGTCCCGCAGCATCACAGGGACCGTTGGCGGTCGGGTCAAGTCCGCTAGGCATGCCGCGATCTCCCTCCTGGCAAAGAATTGCTCGGTCGGCTGCTGCTGCCGCCGCCGCCGCGGCCGCCACTGGCGGCCCCGTCGCCCCAGCCGGGGCCTTACCGCCCCCGAATGGCGATCGTAGCGGGAGCGGGAGCGGAAATGGCGCCGCGGGGGCTGTCGGCGGCGGCGGAAGCAGCTATAAGGGCCCTGTGAAGGACTTGGCGGCCGCGACTGCGTGGGACATGGGGTTCATGGCGACACGGCTGGCGCAGGAGGGGGGCTCGGGGCATGCGTTGCACCACTACGCGAGGTGTGGTGTTGGGTGCTGCAACCCAGCATGGGGCTCTGCCCTAGGAATACTGGCATGATGATTAGGACAGGAAACACGCTTTGGTGGCTGCCTACGACCACTGTGGCTACTGGTATGTCGTATGCGTGCTCACGAAAATGGCCATACGTGCTGACAAAGCTGGCCTCAACTGTGCCCGTGTGTCGGTGTGTGTTTGTGTGTCTCTTGCGCAGGCTCCTTGGCAGCGCGGGCGAGCGCTCCCTGCACGGTGTGCGTGAGCGCAGCTACCACGCGGGCCTCACCCCGGCTGTCAGGCCGCACTCGCCCACCGCCTCGCCATTCCTGGGCGGCGCCGATGGCCAGGCGCAGGCTCCCTCGGCCGGTAAGCCCTTCATTAAGGTGGCGGCGTGCCCAAACGCACCATGCGCGGTTTCCCAACCCACCCACCGCTCCCATCCCCCTACTGCTTGCTCTTTCCCCGTTCCTCAGCGGCTACTGGTGAGGGCAGCAACGGCGGAGGCGGCAGCAGCGAGTACATGCGCATGCTAAGTCTGGCGGCGAGGCAGCGCGCGGAGCAGCGCAAAGTACAGCGGCTCTCTCTTGACACCAGCGGACACCGGCAGAGCCACTACGGCCGACTAATGGCAGCGGAGGCGGCGGCGGAAGGGACAGCGGCGGCGACGACAACTGAGCGGGGCGCAGGAGCGGGGGCAGCAGCTGACATGGCGCCCCCGGAGGAGGCCGATGAGGAGGGACGCGACGACGAAACCAGCGCTGACACTGCTAGCGTCAGTGGCGGGGCTGACGGCGCAGGCGGAGGAACCCTTTCCAACTCGGCGGCTACTACCGGCGCCTTCTCCTCCCCAGGACCGGCTGGCGTTCCCTCGGCGCATGTCTCAGCGGCGGCGCTGCTGCCGCCGTCGCCAACTGTTTCACGCCGCTCGCCCGCGCCGCAACGCTCCCCGCCATCTGCAACGGCGGCGACGGCAGCGCACGGCGACGCCGCTCGCTCCCCAGCTTCAGCACCCCCGCCAGCGGGCCCCTTCACAACCACCGACACCGCTGCCGCTGCCACGCTTGCTTCGCCCTCCAACCGGCGGCCGCTCGCCAAGCCCAGCATTCCTGGTCTAGAGGAGGCGGATGCTGTGAGCCTTAACAACGCAATCGCGTCAACGCCGGCGGCGGCGACGACGGGCGGCGGCGGCGGCGGCCAGGCCGGCAGCGACGGCGGCATGTCGTACACCAGCGGCTCCGTACCGGGCGCCACGGATGAGGGCGCGGATTCGCTGGCGGCGTTGCGGGAGGGAGACGTGGAGGAGGAGGGCATGGAGGAGGAGGGCGGCGGAGGCGGCGGAGGGAGGCAACCGGGCGGTGCTGAGGAAGTGAAACGCAGCTCGTTGCTGCGTCGGGTGAGTGGTTCGGCTAAATTGGGCCGGAGTGTGATTTGGGTCGCAACAGGTTTAAATGTGAATTGGATCGGATTAGGGTTGGGTGTGATCTGGGTCAATCAGCTGGACGCGTGAATTAGATCGGATCGGGTTTGAGCGTATGCTTTGGATTAGCTGAGCTGGGTTGCATATGGTCTGTGTCTGATAGCTTTTTCCCCATTCGAGCACAGGCCTACCGATACTAAATAGCCTTCGTCAACGCCAACAACCCACATCAACCCACATCTTACTCTTTCCCTCATTGTGCCATCCCTCGCTTTTTCCCCGCGCTAGGTCCGTAAAGCCCTGCTGAAGCCCGTCAAGACGCTTCTCGGCACGTCCAACAACACCAACACCAACAGCCCGGCTGCCGCCTCTGCCGGACGCAACCTCCTCGGCAGCGCCCAACGCGCCGCTTCCAGCTCTGACGGCGGTCGCAGCGGCACCGCCACACCCACAAGCTCAGCGGGGGGCATCGCAGCCGGCGCCCGCACGCCTGTGGCCCGCTCGGGAACCCTGGCTAAGCTGTCAGCTTCCATTGACCAGGCTGCAGCTGCGGCTGCGGCTGCGGCTGCAAGCATTACAGGGGGAGGAGGAGGCAGAGCGGGGGCTGGCGGCGGCGCCCGGGGGCTGTCAACACTGTCGGTGTCTAGCGTGGTGTTACCGACGGAGGAGCGGGGTCGAGGTCGCGGCGCGTACGCTGCTTTCGTGCAGAACGCTGGCACGGGTACGGTCAAAGCAGGGTGACCGTCCATGCCGCGGGGGCACAGGGGATTAGGGTGCTCTTGCTGGTGGGTTCTTGACGGCTGGAGGGAGGCATGGAGATAGGGAGCAACTTGCAAAGCTCGCATTGGCTTCAATTCACGTGGGCTAGGCTGGTTCTGTATCGGTGTTTCTTGTTTGCCAACTGTGCCAACTGACCCAAATGCGCCCCCCGCAGGCACCAACACGCCGCTAGACCGCAGCGCTCACGGCACAGCAACCACCGACCGCAGTGGCCACAGCGAGCGAGACCGGAGTGTACGGAACGGCCGAGAGCGTTCGTTCGCAAGCTCAGAAGGCGGCGGCGCCGTACCTGCTTCTGCCGTACCGGCCGCCGTTATAGCAGCGGCACCTGCCGCTACTGCCACAACCGTGACGGCGCCCGCCGCGGCTGCCGTACCAGGCCCTGCAGGGTACGCCATTCACACCGTGAAGGCCCATCGGGACCCCCAGGCGATTGCCGGAACCACAACTACTGCTGCTGTGGCAGCGGTGGCAGCTGCGGCTGCTGTCCCTGCTACAACCGCCACCGGCGCTGGCGTTGGCGTGGCAATGCGAACCAGCGCTGCTGGGTTTGTTGAAGGGAACACGGCAGCAAATGGGACGACCACAGTCTCCGCCGCTGCAGCGACGACGGTGGCGGCGGAAGCGCCAGCGGAAACACCGGCGGCAGCTGCCCTGACAGCACGGGCGTCACCGTCGGTGATGACGGCGGCGGCGACTAGGGCAGATGGCGGGGTCGAGGAAGGAACGAAGGTGGAGGGTAAGGAAGGAGCAGCGTTGTCTGCCGCGAGGGTCGCTGCTGTATATCAGCCAGCGGCGATGGAGGGCGTGTCGACGCCGGCAGGAGCGACGGAGGTACAGGCGCCGACGGTGGCGGCTGTTGCGGTTGCGGCGGCGGCGACTCCAGAAGTGGCGGTGACGGAGGCGAGGCAGGTCGCGGAGGCAGCTGCCGACGGCGCCGCGGTCCTGGCGGCGGCATCAGCTCTTCCACGCAGCTCGGTACGGCAAGACGAGCTGGTGAGATGTAGGGCTAGCACTACAGCGCATGCATCCCGCACGAACCGTCCATGAACTGCTGCCGACCTTGGGGCTCTGTAGCGTTAGTGCGATGGCGGACTGCAGGCGCCAGAGCGCCTTTGCCCGGTTGCCGCCGTCGTCCAGCATCGGGACTCCGTTGATGCTGGGCAGGCAGCGGACGCGCTCAACCGCCTGTCAAGTGACAAGAGCCGCGCACGGCCGTGCTTTTGTCACATGCCAGGCGGTGGAGTGCGTCCGCTGCCTGCCCAGCATCAACGGAGTCCCGATGCCGGACGACGGCGGCGACCGGGCAAAGGCGCTCGGCGCCTGCAGTCCGCCATCGCTCTGAGCCCCAAGGTATCGGCAATTTCCGGGAGCAGTTTGTAAACGTGGTAATCCTAGGACCTAAGATCACCACGTTTATAAACTGCCCCTAGGAACTGCTGATACCTTGGGGCTCTGTATCGTTAGGGCGATAGCGGATTGCAGGCGCCAGAGCGCCTTTACATTATTGCAGGCTACTGCAGGGCTGCTCCTCTCCCATTCCGCACACGTGGCAGTACACCCTAGGACACCACACCCTCACCATTCGGACTGCTACACGGACGCAGGCAACCGTGTCATCAGCTACGAAGTTCATTTGCACTCCCTCCTCAAGTCCTCTTCAAACACCCGGTCCCGGCCCCTCCTCTGCCCCCCTACTTCCCCATGTGCAGGCCCCCGCGCTTGCGCTGCTGCTGGGCGATGCAGGCAAGGTGGAGGAGCTACAGGAGGTGATGCGGCGGCTGCAGTACGACAGGGCGGAGGAGCTGACGTACGAGCAGCTGAGCGAGGGGCTGCAGTGGCTGGGTAAGAGAGCATCGGGGGATGTATCGGGAGTAGCGGTAATGCAACTGGGCCGGGATGAAAGGAAAGGAAAGGAAAGGAAAGGAAAGGGAAGGGAAGGGGGGTACAGGGCGGCGAGGGGGAGGAAAAGGTACGGAACGGTATATATTGCCGGCCGTGGCTTATGGCGCACGGAGGTTGTGAACCCCTTCCTTGTGGAGGCCGCAACTTAGCCGAGCGGCGACGGCGGCGTGGCCGCGCAACTAACCCCGTACTTGCACGCTAAACTTGCAAGGCGCGCTGTTCTGCGGTGTCCGGTGTGTAACGAAAACGGCCGCGAGTCCGAGCGTACCGTGATGTGTGTCCTATGGTCTGTGTATTATGAAAACTGGTCTGTGTATGTGTTGTTGCGCCCGCCTGCCCGCCTGCCCGCCCGCCTGCCCGCCTGCCTGCCTGCCTGCCCGCCTGCCTGCCTGCCTGCCTGCCTGCCCGCCTGCCCGCCTGCCTGCCAGGCTACCGGCTGGAGGCCAGCGAGGTGGCGGACCTGCTGCGGCAGGTCAGCGGGGGCGCGCAGGAGGGCCTCACCGCCTCGCAGTTCATCGCTAGTCAGGTGAGACAGCGGGCAGCAGGCAGCAGGATATGATGATGTCAGCGTACATGAGATCAACTGCGGTAGCCGGCGCTTGGATGGCAAGGACGGAAGTCGCGAGGACGCGCTTCTTGTGCGCTATATTGCTCATCGGGCCACGCCCATATGCAAGGCGCATACCGCTTATACCTCTACTGCAACCGCGCCTCCTCCCTGCCTCAAGCCGCTTACCGGTATCTCCTCCCCGCTCCTCTGCCCGTCCCTTCTCTCCCTCCCCTCTCCTCGGGATATGGGATTGGGACTCGTTGTTTCACTTTTTTAATTTTTTCCCTCCCCTCTCCTCGGGATATGGGATTGGGACTCGTTGTTTCACTTTTTTAATTTTTTCCCTCCCCTCTCCTCCCCTCCCCTCCTCAGGTGGACTGGCGCAGCTTCCAGGCCAACCACCGTTCCCAGTGGCTGGACTGCCTGCGCAAGGCCTTTGCGGAGCTGGGCGGCGGGCAGGGGCCGGGCGGGCGGGTCACGGTGGAGCAGCTGGTGGCGGCGCTGAGTGACAAGCTGCCGGAGGAGGAGGTGCGCGGGCGGGGGCAGGGAGGCAGGGAGGGAGGAAAGGAGGGGCGCAGAGAGGCCGGGCGGGCCTTGGGCTGGCGATAGGGAGGTGCATGACGAATAGGGAAGCAAGGCAGTTGTCAGGGAGGATTGGCACGTCCATATTATATTGACGAGGAGGTATCGGTATGGTTCGCACGTGACACTGCTGCTGCTGTCCCGCAGGTGAACCTGGCTGTTCAGGATAGCCTGATGGACGCGGCTGTGGAGACGGACGCAATGGACTTTGACGGCTTCGTGCGGCTCATGCGCTGCAACAGCAGCGACTCCCTGGCGAGTGGCGCGTCGTCCGAGATGTCGTACGACCTGTACGACCCGCGCCTCAAGGACGCCTCGCTGCATGGGCCCCTGGGCGACGGCACACACTACCAGCCGGCGTTGGAAACGGTGCCTGATGACCAGGAGTGATGGTGCCAGAAGGTAGGAGTTGTGCCGGACATGGATCTAGCTCGTGTTGTGAGAGTGATGGTAGGAGGGTAGGAGTTGTGCCGGACATGGATCTAGCTCGTGTTCTGGGAATAAAGAGGAAACAACGAACTGGCTGCGTGATAAGGCGTCATCATGGTTTGCAACATGTGAGCCACCCCGACCCGCCCAGCCAGTATGGGAGTGGGGCGCTGGGGCAGGACGAGGTGGCAAACAGCTGGCGTGTACAGGATGCCGGTTTACGGAGCAACACAAACGAATGGAATACGGAGAGACGCGGACATGGGATATGCTTATGCAGCGAAAGAGGTGAGGGATAGCAGGAGAGTCCGGGAGCTGGCTAACAGTTTTGTAAGGCCTGTTGGCGCTTGAGAGGAACGCGCGTGTGTGCATCGCGGCAGGATGGCTTGTGGATGGCGGACGTGGGGGACGTGCAGCATAAGAAGTTAGACGGTTGCCTTGCGTGTGGGAGTGGTTGTGTGTCTTGAAGGGTGTGCATCTGTCAATCCAGCCAGGCGTTTGGTATTCACCTAGTAAGGAGAGGGTTCAGTCTGTCTTCGCTGAGAGGGAGCAGTGTTTTTCATGTGCATCTAAGGTTTAGGTAGACGCGGATGCCTTAACCCAGGCCAGAGGCTACTGCCGTGTGAGGCTGTGGCCGTGGCCATGGAATTTTGGTGCCGTTGCAGCTGTTACCGGCGTTAGTCGTGCCTATTTGCGCCTTCCGACCGTTGGCGAAGGATGTCCCATTCTTTGGCAACAACGGAGCCGCTTGAGGTGGCCATAAGTGCAGCCCACGACAGCCAATGGACTGCCGAGCGCTCCCGGGCAACTCAGTGTGAAACACCTCTGCATGTCGAGGGCAACGCCCCTGGTAGTCTTTGAAGAGACCGTGTACCACGGCACAGTAATGCCGCTGGCGGAGTTATAGACTTCCGAGAAACCTAACGCGCGTGCCCTGTCGGTCTTTTACCGCACCAGCTGGACGACCGCACTGGGAGGTTTTTGGTCACTTTCTCAATTTCGTTCACTTCACCGTGCATAGTATAGAAGCCAATCTAGTCGTCATCCTCATGCATGAGCACGCAGCTGCATACACGTTGATGCTGAGATACGACGAGCCACTAACAGGCCGACCCACAGTCGCGAAGAGTGCCTCGCAGCTAGCGTTATAGATACGACAATGTACCGACAAAACCTATCAGGCATCGCAGAAGATAAGGCGCGAGCTTTCCAGGGCTGGCGGGCCGGTTAGGGTTGCATTAACATGATTCAGGTCATAACATGTAAACGAAGACCAGCAGCTTCGATACTATGCTACATGTCGAGCCGTGCTGTCTGTTACTAGGTGGCATGCGGCATGGTAAATGGAGCCCAAGGTCCGTACAACACCACCAATCCTCAGAACCTTGGCCCCGCGCTGATTCTGACATTTCTATAAGTTTACTTGATACGTTAAGAAAAAGAAATGGGGTGCGGGTCATCAGTTCCGGTTGAAGCAGTGGACCAGCAGGACCAACAGAAGCAACAGCACCAAGGGGCAGGGTCTCCGAAGCAAGGTGCGATGCACCTGATCTGCACCAGAATGAGCAGAAAGCAGACAAGTATTTGATGGCGCTGCAGGCGGGAGTAACGCTGACAAGGCTGCCGATGCTGCCGATGCTGCAAAGTCTAAGACAACACGGGCACGCCGCTTGAGTTACATTTCGAATGACGCAAATGGAGCTGCGGTGAGTTTTATGGCTCCACAACGGAGGAGAACTTGCCACAGCAAAAGGGCGCCTGCATCTTGCAGGCAAACGCGCCGCCCGGAGCACCCGCGCCAGCAACATCTGGACCGGGTGGGAGGTCAGGCAACACGAGAGCAAGGCGGCTATCATACGTCACCAACGATGTGAGTTTAGCTGCATAAGTTAGTATAGCTGCTGACGGACTCAAACCTGACACATGTTGGGGTTCGCAGCCGAACGCGCCGCCTGTCAACCCGAAGTATACCGGGGACGGTGATGGGAATGAGGAGGTGGACTTGGAGGGCGCCGATGAGCCGACCGTGCAGGGCCAGCTCGCGCCCGAGGTAAGCTGGGCTGGGTCAGAAGGCGCATGCTAGTGCCTGGACCCTAAACCGTAACTCTACTGTCGCAGGAGCAAGAGCGTAGGACTCTTCGCGTCAACGTTGCATGCATGTCGCGGGCTGGGCGCGAGCCGGGCTTCAAGAAAACTAATCAGGACAATTGCTTCGCCTTTGAAAAGTACATAACCGAGGACCAGTCCTTGTTTGGTGCTATGGATGGCCATGGTCCGCACGGTGCGTGAAAGCGCCTGACTTATTTTTGCATTCTGTGTTTGGTTGCATTTTGACAACAACTCTCCATGGTGTGCAGGCCACTTGGTGTCCGGCTACGTCAAGCAGCATCTCCCGATAATACTCGTTAACCACTTGACGTTGGAAAAGGACGTTAAGAAGGCGCTGACGCAGGGCTTCTGCGAGGTGGACCGGTCACTTGCGAACAGCAGAATAGACTGCGAGTTCAGCGGCAGCACTGCAGTGGTCAGCTATCTAAAGGTAAAATCCTATGGCATGGCATACTGTCTGTAAGTAATTCGCACGACCAGGTTTCCATGTCTTCCATGTAGGGCAAGACGCTAACAACCGCGTGGGTGGGTGATTCGCGCGGTGTGCTGGGCCGTGAGAGCAAGCGGGGCTGGGAGGCCATTGACCTGACAACCGACCACAAGCCGACAGCACCAGAGGAGAAGGCACGCATCCTAAAAGCAAACGGCCGAGTGGAACGGTAAGGGTTTGGCGCCAAACTTGTTTTCCATGGTCCCTCTCCGCCTTGCTAACCCAAGCACCTGGTTGAAACAGGCTGGTGGACGAGATGGGCCAGCCAATGGGTCCATACCGCGTGTGGCTTCAATACGCCTGGATCCCGGGCTTGGCGATGAGCAGGGCACTCGGGGACGTCCTGGCGCACCAGTAAGTTTAGCATGGATACTGTGTAGACGCGGGGATGCGAGTATGGTTCAAGCTTTCGCGGAATGAGACCGGAAGGGTAACTTTCCTACTCCACATACGGTAGGACTACTGCACCCCACCCTCAAGCCTTCCTATAGCGCGGGATCTTTAGGTGCAGAAAGCCGAATGCTGATGGGCTTCGTATGAGGGTTTCCGACCCCAGGATTTCACGCCCGTGTTGGCAGCCGGTCCTGCACGAATGAAAGCTGTAGTTATCTAAGCATATGGCGCTGTCTGCTGCCCCTTTTCCGCACCCAAAGGGTGGGCGTGACCTCGGAGCCCGACCACACGGTAATGGAGCTGACGCCGCAAGATAAGTTTATCGTTCTTGCGTCGGATGGCGTGTGGGAGTTCATTTCGAGCAAGGAGGCCGTGGACATCATAGCTCAGTACGACAGCGCGGAGGAGGCGTGCCGCCAGGTATGTCAAGGACCGGGGGTATGTGTCAGGACGGACTATATAAATTGGTTTAGCAAGCTGCGAACCGTGCATTCAGCCCACCACGTTCGAAACTGCCCACCACGTGCAGCTTTAAGGGTGCTATAGGGCTTGCACGTAGCTGCACGCAGCCTATGTGCTTGGGGTCCTGAGCACGCATTCGCTTCTGCGCTTATTGCAATAGCTTCTCAACCGGTGGTGCTCTTCCCTTGGCTCTTAACCGCTTGCAGCTGGTTGACGAGGCGTACCAGCGTTGGCTGACGGAGGAGGAGGGCGTCGTTGACGACATCACAGCCGTTGTCGTGCGATTTATTCACCCACAGTAACGTGACGCACGTTCAGAGCGCCGAGAGGCTCGTGTTTAACTGCCGCTGCAAAATAGCAGCATGAGTTCTGGTGTTGTGCAGTGATTTGTATAGGTACCTTGACAGCTGACCGGGGCCGTACCTCCAGAGGGCATCCATATGTAGCACGGGGGGTGGAGGGCTGCTCATTCCCATGAGCATTTAGTTCGCAGAATCTACGGTGGGTCTTCGCACGTTAAACCTCGCGGCATTGTGGCCGTTCAGCAGCAGATACCGGTGAACGTATCTGCGTTCCGGTCTACGTAGGGGTGCGCGCATATTCAATAGTGACGACGTGCACTGTACTGTGCTGTGTTGCACACTGTGTTTGTGATGTAAGGGGAGAGCTGGTGGAGGGTCGTAGTCCATATGGGTTGCGATGGGCTTTCTCCTGTGCCCTGTATTGCCCGGTATGCTAAAGCAACCGCTCACAAACGCCACTTTTTTCCATGCTGTGTCTTAACCTCCCAACTCAAATCACTCTGGGACCTGGACCAATATGCGTCGGACCTTGGCATAATGGACTCGCATCTTTGACACTTTTTGGTTGGAGACCATGGTTCATACTACATGACATGGGTGGCGTACAAGGGGCTTGCAAGAAGTCCCGCACGATGTCGGATTGCAGCCTGTTCACTCAGTTCGTTGACGGGCGTGGTGTGCTGCTCTGCATAACTTTATGGACGTTGTCTTTGGGCTCCTTTTCCTTAACTACGCGCCTCGGGATGTACAGTTTGCGTGTTTTAGTAAGCCGAGGTTGCACCTCGCCCGGGTGGCTGGTACTGTTATGCTGGGTGATGTTTACAAGCAGGCGTGCGTAGGAGCCACGAGGGCATGACTGACGCAGAACTCAACATATGCGGTGAGCGATGGCAATGCGTTGGCGCTTCTTCATGTGGTGTTATGGCTGTTTCACACGTTCATGCTGGAGCCCAAGCGTCTAATAGTGATGGTACTGGGGGACTACGTGTTTTGTGGTGTTTGTGATAAGGTTTAGGCCATGGGCTTATGCCGCTCAATGCTTGTATGGTATGTTATTGCTGTAAGGGTCATCCTTTGCCATGTTGGTGGAAACACCTGTTCGTCGCCCTCGTTGTAAATGTTTTGGCGGGTTGGTCCTCTTGCATGCATAAGAGCACGCCGTGCTCATCCAGCAAACCTCGCCTTGGTTAAGAGTCTTGTGCGTGGCAGCTGTGGTAGTTTACATTCCTCCTGCTTTCCCTTCGGTACTCTCCACTGTCTCCTCAACCCATCCAGGCTTCTGCCCCGATGCCCTTTGCCGCGGCCAGTCGGGCCGCCAGCACCTCCTTTCATATTGCATCCCCGTCCAGTACAAAGGTCAGCTGGCAGGCTTTATTGTGACCCCGTAGTGCTGTCCACCAAACTTCTGATCTACTCTTGGGCTGCCCCCTGGTCGTACATCACAAATTCTGTTGTCGTACAAGTGAAAGCAAACCCAAGCGGTAAGACACCGGCAGAGCATGCTGTAAAACTTCCCAAGCATATGATCATTGTAAAGAAAAATAGTTTACACAGTCGGCTTGTAATTGGAGCTTATCCTTAAACGCATATAGCTTCCAGGAGTTAATTGAGTTAAAATGGGGAAGAAACGCACATATGACGATGATGATGACGATGGTGGTGATGTTGAAGACGAACTGGAAGACGATGATGCAGCAGCTGGCGTTGAGGACAGCGACGATGGAGCGGGCAGCGACGGCGAGGGGCCAAGCAAAAGGAGAAAGCGCAGAGCATCGGCGTTTATAGATGAGGCTGCTGAGGAGGACGATGAAGTGAGGAGGCGATGGTCGTGGATTGTTTCGCTAAATGTGAAATTTTACGATGCTATCTTGTTTCTGACAGGAGGAGGAAGATGAAGGCGATAAACACAAGAGGAAGCGCTCTGTGTTTATTGACGATATTGCCGATGTGGACGACGAGGATGAAGAGGAGGAAGCCGAGGTGCGAAAAGTCAATATGCAATACTGTCTGTCAAAGGTGCTGAACGTGAAAGCGCCAGTTATGTGATGTCTTGGGCAGCTTGCGGGGATCTGCAGCCTTGGCACCGGCCCTCCGCCGCCGAGAAGCGACGTCTCTCTCAGCTGAGCATTTACTCTGTCATAAGGGCACCATGATACTTATTGGCCGTGTTGCGTGCGCGCTGTGCACCCGTGCCTGTACTAGCGCGCTGGACAAGGGGTGTAGGGGACACATGGCATAACACTTGGGACATAAGCATGCCAATAGTCCCTTGTCCAGGTGAACCATACCCTTGCAGAGCACGCTGGCAACACCATTCCTCAATCCACTCCTCCCACCCACTCACCCACACGCTGTTCCTTTCCTCACCACCTCTCACCGCCTCTCACCACCCTCCCCACTCCCTCTCCCCTCTTCCTCTCAGGAAGACGCGGAGGACCTGATCGATGACCGCGACATTGCGGACATAGCGGATGCAGCTGCAGGGCCCATCTACCCCCGCAACTTCCCTGGAGGTGACAAGGAGGATGAGGCGGAGGACATTGTACGGCGCATCGAGGAGCGCTACCGGGACTACCGGGTGGGTCTCTCGCGGGAGGGTGGGAGAGGGAGAAAGGCGGGGTCAAGATTAGCCTGGTGTTAGTAAACGTCTAGGGCAGGTGTCGTCCGGAGGGTGCCAGCAACTGCTCAGCCATGTCATGATCCGGGCATGCCGTCCCCAACGTTCAAGGGCCCCCATTTTACCTGCCCTTCCCCCTCGCCCTCCTCTTCCTCCCCTTCCCTCTTTTCAACCCCCCACCCCCAGGGCGACGACATCCCCGACACCGCGGACACCGGCGTGGTGGGGCAGCAGGGGCTGCTGCCCACCCCCAACGACCCCAAGCTCTGGCTGGTGACCTGCAAGGCGGGCCACGAGCGCGAGGCGGTGGTGCAGCTGCTGCAGAAGGCCTACACGCTGGCGGAGCGCAAGCAGCCGCTGCGCATCCTGTCCGCGGTGGCGCTGGACCACCTGCCGGTGAGGGAGGCAGGCAGGCGGGCTAAGGAGGCTAAGGGGGGGAGGATAAAAACAAAGAAGGAAAGCGTGGTTGTGAACGATATGGAGGGAAGGGCGGGGAGAGCGAGAGAAGCCCTAGGCAACTTGAGGGAAGGAAGCCCTAGTTCGCTGTTCGGCCCCCTTATCCCACATGATCTGGGGGTCTCCATTCCCTCCGTCTCAAGCTCCTCCTCCCCTCCTCACCACCACGACCAACCTCCTCTCCCCCCCCGCCAACCTGCCCACAAACACAGGGTTTCATCTACGTGGAGGCGGCCAAGGAGAGCCACGTGATGGATGCCATCCGCGGCCTGCGCACCGTGTACGTGGGCAAGGGCGCCAAGCTGGTGCCGCTGAATGAGATGGTGGACGCGGTGACGGTCAACAAGAAGGCGAAGGACGACCTGGGTGGGTGCAGGGTGGGTGGGTGGGTGGGTTCTGGTACAGGGTGACAGGGTGGGGCTGCGTGCAGGGAAAGCTGGATAGGGGGGCTAGGTGTCGGGGTTGACGTTAGTTGCGGCTGACGGGGGGGTGGTTGGGTAGGTTGTTAGGCATGCGGCTGCGCATAAGCCGGAAGCACTCTGCCTAGGTTCCAGCGCTGACGCCATCCGGCTCTCCTCCTGAACAAACCCCGGTGCTGCGTTTACCTTGTACCGTCCTCTCCCCCAGCTCGCGACACGTGGGTTCGGCTTCGCGGCGGGTTGTACAAGGACGACCTGGCTCGGGTGGTGGACGTGGACCCGGTGGCGGGGCGCGCCACCATCAAGCTGCTGCACCGCCTGGACTTTGCAGCCATGGCAAACAGGGTGAGAGCGGGGGGAGGGAAACAATTATGAAAAGGGGCAAGGAAGGGGGAGGCGGGCAGGGTAAGGAAGAAGATAAGGAGGGGTAAAGAAGGGGTAAAGAACGCCTAGTATGTAGATGGCTAGTGGGTTGTGTATAGCGAGGGTGGTGGTGACGGTGGTTAGCGTAGATAGGAGGCGGAGAAACGAGCTAACTGTGTATGAGTGCCGCTAGGACATGAGGCAATGGAAGCTGGAGGGAAGGAAGGAAGGGGCAGGCAATGCGTAAGGCTGAAGGCTAAACGGCCTGAAGGAGGGGGCTTGGGCAGGCGATGGAGTCATGGCATGTGGTGGCACACCGCGGAGGAGGCGGGAGGGAGCGGAAAACAAAACAGAGAAGGGGTGTGTGGGTGGCTGAGGGACCAGGTAGGGAACCGGCCGGCCCGTTCCTCACAGGTGCCTGCACCTTCCCCGACCCCTCACGCCTGCCCCTATCTCAATTGCTTTGCCCTAACCCATGGTTCTGGCATACCTCTGGCCCCCTTCCGCCTGCAGACTGAGGAGCAGCGCAAGAAGAACCCCTTTGGCCGGGCTCCCACAGTGCGCCCCGTGTCCAAGGTGTTTAACCCGGAGGAGGCCAGGGTGGCGGGTGAGGCAGGGGGGGAAGGAGGGCGGCCGGGAGCGAGGCGGGCAGGCGGGGGTGAAAGTACCGTAATGGTACATGAATGCCAGGGGGGGGTGCTGAACTGTAGGTAGCAGGACTTGACCTTGGCGGCGACGGAGAATTGGCGACTAGTTGACGAGTAGGTCCTGAGGAGCTACTTGCCCACGCATCCCCTTTCCCCGCTCCTTCCTTCTTCCTTACGCCCCCGTGTCATCAGATCATCACCTCTCTCCCTCCCTGCCCCGCAGGTCTGCTGGTTCAGCGGCTGCCCGCGCAGGACGGCATGCCCTCCTACCAGGTGCTCTCGCACACCTTTGTGGGCGGCTACCTGCTGAGGAGGGTCGGAATCAAGGTGAGAGAAAGGGAGAGTGGGACTGCCATGGGAGGCAGGAAGGGCGCTGAAGAGCATGGCCGCGTGGGGAAAAGAGCGGAAAGCACCTCGGCTGTAGGTGACACCACACATGCGTATGGGAATTGGAAAAATATAGATAAGTGCATCAACGGAGTCCCAATCCCCAATCCCGACTCATGCAGTATGGGAAAGGGGGCCTGCGCTGAGCAGGGATGCGCCTGGTTGGCCCTGCTATCATACTCCCACTCACCCGCAACACCCCATACCATAACCTTTTCTCCACCCTGTCGCCCCTTCACTGCCCCCTTCCTTTTACTGCCTTTCCCCTCGTTGCCACTGTCATTTAAAACGTGGTTTTTCTTCTTCCCCTCTCCCTCCCAACCTCCTCCCCCCTCCAGACCCTGACGGTCCTCGACACGTTGCCGGGTCTCGAGGAGGTGGCTCGCTTCAACGCCGCCGCCTCCTCCGGGGATGACGACGCACCCGCCACCGACCTCTCCTCCCTCATGGCCACCCTGCCCACCGACGGCACCGCGGCAAGCAAGGGCACGTTCATGAAGGGGGACAAGGTAAGAGCGAGGTAACGGGTGTGGGAAAGCGGGGATGTGGAGCAGGGTGAGGGCCGTACAACGTGTCGGACACAAGGGTACGACTCTGGTTGAAGAGCTAACCCGCTGATTCCCGCCCCCGCATGCCTTACTGTCCTCTTTCCACCACCCTTACCCCCTTCCCTCCCCTTCTCCCCTCTTCCCTCTTCCTCTCTCCCCCCGCAGGTCCGTATCGTGAAGGGCGACCTGGAGAACCTGACGGCTCGTGTGACGGGCGCCTCCGCGGACGGCAGCAAGGTGACGGCCATCCCCGACATCAGCGGGTTCGCGGAGGAGGTGGAGTTTGATGTGGACGAGCTGGCCAAGGTCTTCAAGGTAGGGGATTGGGGAGTGAAAGGGGAATAGGTGAACTGAGCCGCATGGAATACTGGCCGTGGCTGTAGGGGTGGGGATGGGGATTGCTGGAATCGCTGGAAGGAAGGAAGGGAAAGGGAGGGAGGGGGCGGGACATGACCCACATGGAGGAGAGAGGAGAGGAGCCGTGAGAGGCTACAATGGAGGGTGAGGGGGTGTGTAAAATGGGAAGGGGCGGCTGTCAAGAGGGAGGGAGGCCGTGGGTTGAATACGCACGAGTAGCTCCTCACACCACTTCTTCTTCTCTCCTCCCTCCCCCTCCCCTCCCTTCCCCCCCCAGGTGGGTCAGCGCGTGCGGGTGCTGGCGGGGCAGTACGGCGGTGACACGGGCATGGTGGTGCGGGTGGACGAGGCGCTGTGCTTCCTCATCTCGGACACCACGCGGGAGGAGATCAAGGTGTTTGCAAGGTGCGGGACGGACGGGCGTCTTGTTGCTCTGACGTTTCGCCTGGTATCCTATTCCCCTGCGAGAGAAGGTTTGGTTTCTCGTCGTGATGTCTCCCTTTCCTCGGGAACCTCAGGGGCCTCTACGTTACTAGCAGAGTACTAAGTATTCCTCCCGCCCCCCCCCCTCAGGGACCTCACCGAGAGCGAGGTGGTTGCCTCGGGCATCGAGATGCTGGGCGAGTACGTGCTGCACGACCTGGTGCAGCTCAACCAGAGCACCGCGGGAGTGGTGGTCAAGATTGAGAAGGACGCGGCAAGGGTGAGGGGGCGGACGAGCCTGGGAGGGAGGGAGGGAGGGAAGCGCTGCGGAGCTACTGTCAGGGAGTCCTTGCTCTTGGCAGGGACTATGAAGTTGCTTAGGAGGCATACCGACGCATCATCAGACGCCTCTTAGCTCGCTAGTTCTAGCCTCGCGTATGGGGTACCGGTACCGTCCTCATTCCCCTCCTCCTCCTTGACCTCCCGCACCGTCTGCCACGGTCTCCGCTCGCAGGTTCTCACCAACAACGGCACCCCCGACCAGCCCGACGTGCGGCTCTGCCGGCTGACGGACATCCAGCGCAAGGTCACCTTCAAGCAGAAGCCCGTCACCCAGGACCAAGCAGGAAACCAGGTGCGCGAAAAGGACTACGTGGTCATCCAAACGGGCCGCATGAAGGGCCGCGGAGGCAGCGTGGCCTACATCTGGCACGGCACGCTGTTCCTGCACTGCAAAGACGTCACGGAGAACGGCGGCTACGTCGCCGTACGCTCCTTCTCAACCCGCATCCGAGGCGCGTCTGGCGGCTCAGCCGCTGCTGGGTCCTTTAACTCGGCCCGCGCAAGTGCGATCCTCGGCGGCGGCGGCGGCAGCATCCGCAGCACGCCGGGTAGCGTCGGGCCGTCGCCTGGCGGAGGCGGAGGAGCGTACGGCAGCTCCAGCGGCGGCTTCCGATATACGCCGGCGTCGCCGCGGCCGGACGATCCCTCCAACGGCATGGGAGGCGGCGGGGGTGGAGGCATGGGCGGGGGTGGTATCGGCGCGGATGGGAAGTTCCAAATGGCACTACCCCAGCGCGGCGGCATGATGGGCGGGCCGCAGGCAGGGCGAGGAGGGTACGGCGGCGGTGGCGGCGGCGGCGCGGGATCCTTTAGCGGCCGTTCTTACAACGCGCAGGCTCAGTCGCAGTACGTGGGCAAGGTGGTTCGCGTCATCAAGGGGCCCTATAACGGCTACCGAGGTCGCGTAAAGCAGCAGACCGTCACGCACGTCAAGCTGGAGCTGGATGCGGTGGCGGGGCGGCCCGTGATTGTACCTCTGGAGTGCGTGACGTTAGGGGAGGCGCCCAGGAGCGCGGTGGCGGCGGTGGGGGCGGCGGGCCCGGGAGCTGCTGCTGCAGGGGGATACCGGGGGGAGTCTGCATGGGGCGCGCCCATGGGGCGTCCTGGGGACGGAAGGTGGGTGCGTGGAAAGAGGATGAGGTAAAACGTCGTGGGGGGTTTCGGTTCAGGGGCAGCAGCGAATGGGTTGGTGTGGGCTATAAGTGGTAATGCAGTGCTTCTTAGTTAGTGATAGGGGGGAGCGTTGTATGTGTCACGCATGCGCGCAAACCCCGTCCGCCCCCTGCATCCCTCCCTGCCGCCAGGTACCCGCCCCAGACGCCGGCACACCCGGGCAGCCAGACGCCCGCACACTACTCCATGACACCCGCACACCCCTCCATGACGCCCGCACACGCGCCGTACACCCCAGCCCATGCGCCGTACACACCCGCCTACAACACCAGCGGCGAAAACGACGACTACTACGGAGACGGCGACGCGCGACACCCACCCATGACGGCTCCCACGCCCGGTTACGGAGCCACGGCTCACACGCCGCAGCAACACGCCATGACTCCGGCGCTCACACCGCAGGGCTTCACGCCGCAGGAGGCCATGCACGCCCCCACGCCGGGCCACCACCACATGCACCATGGAGTGGCAGGTGGGGGCGGGGGGGTTGGCGGGGTGTTGGGTTTAAACAGGTGTTTGCGGTGTTGTGTGATGAGGCCATTAACGGTTGGGCTGTCGGATAGAGCACCTAAGTTGGACCCCGAATTGCCATCCAACCCTGTCGCAGGCACACCCAACCTGGCACCCACCCCCGGCCTGGCTCGCACCCCCTACCTTGCCGCCCCTACCCCTGGAGTGGACGCCGCGCCCACCCCCGGCGGCGCGCACTACGAGACCGGCTACACGCCCGGCAGCAACGCGCCTACCGGCACCCCCGGCCTCACCGCGCCCACCCCCGGCATGCCGTCCGCCTACACGCCCGCCTTCACACCGGCAGGGCACATCTACACGCCGGGGACACCCGGTGAGCTGCCCAGCATTGAGCTGAGCTTTTGCAGGGTCAGGGCTGGCCAACATGTTTGGGGGGTATCTCTCCAAGTCCCGGAGCAAAACTGCAAGAGCTGCAGTATCGGGTCAGTAATAGAGCGAAATACCAACTTGGGTTTCCGGTCACGCGCTCCCATCTCCTCCCTCCTGCAGGCATGGGCGGCATGGGTGGCATGGGCGCCGGCGACATGGGTCCCCCAGCTGCCGCGGGTGTGGTGGAGGACTTCAGCACCTGGGTGGGCATCCTGGTGGCGCTGCCGCCGGGCGAGCGACACGGGGTGGTGCGTGCGGCGCATGCGGACGGCGGCTGCAGCGTGCAGCCGGGGGCCTACTCGCCGGAGGGGGACTTTGTGCCGGATGGTGCGTGGGGCAGGGGGGGGGAGGAAACGGGCGGCAGAGGGGCGTTGGGGCTGGGTAAAAGGGTCATACGGTACGCCTTCTCCCTTACCTGCATCCATTCGCCAGGAGCGTCCATCATGGACTGCCACTATCGTTAGTTCGTTACCGGTACCCAACTTGTTAAACAGCCTAACCTGCTTCTTTCCTCTCCTCTTCCGCCCCATTGCTCGCAACAGCCGGTGCCCCGCTGGAGACGCACGACGCGCGCAGCCTGACGGTGGTACGCCCCTCCAAGCGCGACAAGGTCAGGGTCATCCAGGCGGAGACGCAGGACATGCTGGGCATCACGGGCACCCTCATCGGCATCGACAACGCGGATGGCATCGTGAAGTGCGATGTGAGCTGCGAGATGAAGATTCTGGACATGATGTTCCTGGCCAAGTTTGTGGGATGAGTGGTGGGAGGCGGTGGTGGAGGAGTGGGTAGGAGTGATGCAGCGGATGTGTTGTCTGGAGGGGGGACAGCCGGTTGCGGGTTGTGCGAGGGCATGCTGCCGGCTGAGGTGGGACGAACATATGCAGGCACCGTAGCGGGTGGTGGGTGGTTGGACTTGTGTTTGTAGCATGACGCGGTACGGCTCAGAAGTGTAGGGTTGGAGAGAGGGGGTAGTGGAGGCTTGACAGCGGTGTGTGGGCTGCCGGATGGAAGCGAGCAGTAAGGGGGCAGGGTTGGTCGAAGGTCATGGTTGCCCATGGAAACGGGACTAGGTGGGTAGCGAACATGGTGGTTACGGACCGTTGAGTTTCCGGTCTTACCTGGCGGTGTTTACATGATTAAGGACTGACAGGATCTTACCGCGATAGTGCACAGCCGCAGGGTTTTCACATACTTCGTGGGGATTAGGCGCCCGTTATTAGGTCTTAAGCTTTTTCGCTGCCGTTCCATTGAGGGCTGGCAATTGGATATAGCTTCACAACGTAGATCTTTGGGCGTAGCAGGGCGCAGTTGCAATGGTTGCAAGCAGTTGCAATGTGGGTCTTTTGGAACAGCTGTTGCAGGCATATCCGAGGGGAGACCATGGTCCATATTTCTGCAATCCTCTTTGTGCCTGCTGTGTACCTTGATTCGAAGCGACGTTTATAGGCCCAAATCACGACACATGGCTTCCTAACCGGGACTTTACTGGTCACATACCGCACTGGCGGTTTGGACCACATGCTTTGATTAATGTGTCGACGGGAAGTTGATTAATAGGGGTTGCGCATGGGAACGCCGGTCAGTGTTTTTCGGCAAGCATACGGATGTCTTTCTGTCCTTTGGCACAATGCCGCCTTTAGCTACCTTATGCAGCCTACTGCTTTACCAACCCCAGCTGTCGGTGACGAGGATGTATGGGAATAGAAGTTTTCCGGGTTGGATGGATGGACGAGCGAATGGGCCTTTGCAACGAGCTGTTATGCAAATAGCGCTTGATACAGTAGAACATGTCGAGGGTATATCACACATTGCAGGTAGCACGCCGATGCAACCAAGTGATCTAGGCTTATCGCAACACCATGACACGACTTGCGTTTGCGCGCAGCAACGAGACATGTTCGCCAATCGCCTACGCTCTTGTTGTAACCAAAGGACGACTTGTATGCTAAATTATCCCTTCTTGCGGTGCATCGTTCTGACCGAGCTATCGGGGAGGCTACAAAACCAAGAGCACGCAAGTGGACAGCGTGCACACCGCGATGCAGGGGCATATATTGGTATGATCTAGACGACCAAGCTTCCCTGCTAGAGCCTTGGGTGGGGCCCAATCACTACTACAACCAAAGTTGCCGTACATTCATGTCAAAATATCGGCCGTTCCTCCAAGATGGCATCTAAGCATGCACTGAGACCCAAACATACAATCCTTAAGGGTCTTTAGTGCTTAGCCGTAGCTTCGTCATAGGATTAGCGCCGCGGTGTGCCTGCCTCTTTGGTGAACCGCGCATCGCCGCTTAGCACAAGTGTCGGAGAATGCTGGGACAGCCGCTAAGCATTCCTGGACAAGCGCCCAGTGTACAGGGGACAAAGCTGTGCCACCTCCTGTCCGATGAAGCTTTATTGCGCCGGCTGTCAGGGAACACCGGGGAGGACTGCGTGAGTGCCCTGCGTGCATTAAACCTTCCGGACAGCTTTTGGACTGACGAATTCAAGGTGCGGCGGTGTATGCGTGCAACTCAACTGCACAACCGGCAGTTAGCGGGAGCAAGTTTTCCTAAGAAGTCCGGATGGCCTATCCAGCGCACGTTGCAATCAAATTGGACTGTTTGTATGTAATGGGCCGCTTGGGACAGGCAGCATTAGCCCTCGAGGCGGCGGTGCGGCGTGAGCCACTTTGCGGGCACTTGCCCTGGCTGGAACTTGATAACAAGCCTCGGCGCACTCGCAAAGTTGTGCATTCTCGTCTCTAACGTTTCGTATGCTTTTCCTATGCTCCTCGCAGGTGGTGCCTTGCGCCAAGACATATAGCCATAAGTGGACGCTCTGCCCTTGCGCTCACATTGGCGAGACAGCACGGCGTCGCTGCCCCCGCACTGTGAACTACAAAGCAGTCTTGTGCCCTTTGGTGAAGGCGGTAAGTCGGCCAAGACACGAACATTTGGTTTTGCCACACCGTAACCTTTACCCTTTTGCGAATTTGCAGAAGAAAACTTGCCCTCTTGGAGATTCCTGCAGCTATGCGCACAACGTCTTCGAGCACTGGCTGCACCCGTCAAGGTGGGAAGCGCAATTGCGCTGACGTGAGGAGGGTGGACAACACTGTCTTTTGCGGAACTAGGCACAGTGTTCTGCTTGGATTTCCTATATTCATTTTGGTTACCACGTTTGCACGGCCTTTTCTCATTTTGCGACCACTTTGGCCCACAATTTGGAAAACCCTGTTACCCGCGCTTGCAGGTACAAGACCCGCCTGTGCTCATTTGGGCGCAACTGCAACCGCTCAATCTGCTTCTTCGCGCATAGCGCAGACGAGCTCCGATGCGTGCCGTGCACCGATGACAAGGAGGGTGACGAGCGGGACTACCTGATGCAGCTTATCGTGGCCCAGGAGAACGGTTTGCTGCCTCCAACTTCGCTGCAGCAGCTACAGCCAGCGCCCATGCCACCGCCGCTGGTGCCAAGCCTAATGCCGGACTTGAGTTCGGCCCTGCAGCAAGCCCTACAACAGCCACTTCCCCCTTCCAACCGTCCCTCCATCAACGGCCTGCCTGACGCCTTGTCGGGACGCCCCTCGATGTCCGGCCTTCCAGATCTCCACACCATGCCAACACACGCTTCGCTAGCCGGCCTGCAGGATGCAAACAGCGCAGCCGTCCTGCGCGCCTCCTTCTCGGGTGTCCCGGACGCCTCCTCCACTCCTGGCTTGATGGTTTCTGGCCGGCCTTCCATGAACGGCCTGCCAGACCCTTCCGGCCTGCTGGCGGCCCGCACCTCCCTCAACGGCCTGCAAGACGGCCTCCACAGGGCCCGTACCTCGCTAAACGGACTCGGCGACCCAACCACCAACATGCTGTTCTCCATGTCGGTCCAAAACAGTATGCAACGCGCCCTGTCCAGCGACATCAACGGCCCGCTCAATGCAGCTGCAATGCACCGTGCGCTCTCCACCGAGCTGAGCGCCCCCTTCCATGCGGCTGCCATGCAACGCGCCCTGTCCAACGAACTGGGTCAGAGCTCCATGAACGCTGCGGCTGCTGCCGCCGCGGCCTTCTCCTCGGCCAGCGCCAATGCGGCTGCTGCGGCCGCTATGGAGCGCGCTTTCTCATCCGGCGCCGGCTCTGCCTCCCCCTTGCAGTCCGCGGCCGCTGCGGCGGCTGCCATGGAGCGAGCCTACTCGCTACACCAACGGGAGTCCCTGCCCACGCAGCTAGGCGGTGCTGCTGCCGGCATGGATCGAGCCATGCTGCAGACCTCTCGGTCCGTGGGCAGCGGCGGTGTGCGCCGGGAGCTGACCCTGGCCCACACCCCCTCCCTGAACTCGGTTGAGTCGGACTCGCTCATCCAGATGCGCAGCGGCGTGAACGTGTTTGGCGGTTGCCACAGCGCCGGCATTATGGTTGGGGCTGGCAGCAGCAGTGCAGGCGCGGTTGCCACTGGCTTGGAGGCCTTGGCTAACCCTCAGGCGCCCACGCGGCTGTCTGACCCGGGCGCTAGCTTCCAGGTGCCTGCGGGCAACACCGCCGGCATGGGCATGCCTGGGAAGAGTCCCCTGGGTCGCGTGTCGGAGGCTGGCAACGACAACGGCAACACCGGCGACGACGAGAACAACGCTACGCTGGCCATGCTAGGCTCCCAGGACCTCTCGGGGTTCCAATCCCTGCTGCCTCTGGTCAACAACGCCCTGGCTAATGGCGGCCTGCCCCTGCCGACACAGCCCCAGCAGCAGCCCGCTGCACGCCGCAGTACCTCGGGCAGTCAGTCGAGCAGCGGAGGCCGCGTCGTGTCGCCACCTCTGCGCGAGGGTGCCGGCTCGCCCAGCAACAGCGGCAGTGTGGCCTCTCTGTCGCCGAACTCTTCCCCTGATGCAACAAACGTGCTGGAGATTCCTGGTGGGCAGCAGCAGCAACAACAGCAGCAGCAAGTGCTTGCTCAAGGCGTCGCTGGATCGCCGCCCAAGACTATAGAGAGTCTAGCTTTCGACGCCATCAACGCACCGGCTGCGACTGGAAGTGGGGACCAGGCCTATCTGCAGAACTTGGTCGCTCATCTGCAAGACCACGGCGTGAATAAGGAGCAACTCGTGTCTTCGCTGTCGCAGCTGCTGGTTCAGCTCCTGTCTGTCGGCAACTAGAGCGCCACCAAGCATTTGGTGGTGAGAAGCGCGTTTACTCCAATTGCATGTTTGAGTGTCCTCGTAACTTGAGCCTGCTGCAATCGATTCGGTTTGGTCGTCTTGCTTATTGCTGTGGAAGGTTGATGTGTGGAGGCTGTGTCATGCGAGGGTCGAGGGTAACCATTTCCCGAGGCGCTTTGGTGCGGTGTGGTGTGTGGTACGGAGCCGGGGCTGTACATATGGGGCCGTCACATTTACTTCTTTCTGAAAAACGCCTACGGATTGTGTAGGCCATAGCATGCTGTTCGCAGGTGGAATGTGGTACACGCAGCAGGGCCTATCAGCATCCGCGGGTGGGCACCTCATTTTGTTGGGCGGCATATTCCTTCGGCGTTTGCTGGCGAATTGTTGATGATTATGCGCAACCTGTTTATCCTGGCGCTGTTGACTTCTTTGACGTGTGTGCCCTGGCCTCACGTGTGTACTAGTAGTCCTGTTGTTAACTGCTGCGAAGTTTGTTATTAGCGGAGTTCATGTGCTGCTTTGCTTACTTGAAGCAAGCTGGAAGCCGGCCACCAAGCTCCCCACGGGCGTCTCATGGTATTGATTAGTAAAGCATGCTTGATGGCCTGTTTTGGGTTTGGCTATGAATGGAAGGGGGGCATACATTTGTGGGTGGGTGTGAGGCTTCCCTTGGAGGCTCGATTGCGATGGCCGGTTATTTCAGGAACCGGTCCTTATCGTGCTTTAGGAATGTGGGGTTGAGGCGTGGCAGGGGGGAAGAATGCGGTATCGCGTCCGTTCCTTGCAGGCTGTTGCCCTTTCCAAGGTCCTGTGTCAGACCCCGCATTGCGTTTTTGGTGCGATCCTCGCCTTCATCGGCTTTCTGGCCTTTACTCGCCACCACCGGGCGATTGGGCGCGTTGCGACGTCAGGGTATGCCGTCAGTGGTCTGGGGGATTTGCTGTGTCTTGTTGCCGAACCAACCCATCGGCACTACACGCAGAGGCTTCCTGACCCGTTGACGCGCGCGAGGCGTGAAACGGGCATGGGTGCGCCGGGCCGAAATTGATTCCTTGTTCCGTGTATTAAGAGAAACCCATAGAACGTGACGAGAAGAGACCTTTATGCTGCTCCATAAGCGCAAATGGGCGCTGAACCTTTTGACTTCTGCTGCTTCTTTTCCTTGGGGGATTGACAAAAAAGTGCGCCATCGCTGGTTCTGCACACAGATCGTACATCCCTCATGTTTATGCGAATAGGTTTTGAAAGCAGGAGAGTTTGCTGCTGTCATTAGCTCGTGCCCTCGGTGCTTGTCCGCGCTGTATTCAGGCTCGGCAGTCCAGGGCCCTGTCCCCGTCCTTTGGGCTGGCATTTTCCGTATTGTCATTTCAGGCGTCGGCGGGTGGGGACCGGAAACAGCCGGGCATATTCTTTTGCTTCGTGCCATGGGCTGGCATGCTGTGTGGGCGAAATGAGACTGCGTGTTTGTGTTTTTGGGATGAAACGGGGTTGCTTTCATATGTCGGCTTTGTCTCCCCCACGACGTTACGCATCCGGTTCCTGTTTGCGCAAATTCAGTATGTGCATATCACACACGTCTTCTTCACGCGTTTGGCGTGGTGGAGGCCTCTGCTCTGCCGCAGGATGGCGGGGTGGGGTGGATGGTTGCAGTCGCAGTCTTTAGTGGCGGCTTGTGCAAATTGGGAATGGTGATTGTTGCCACTTGATGTTGCCCCATATCGCGGCATGTACGGTTATAGCCGCGCCTGACGACAGTGCGGTGCTAATAGTGCTGGTGTCCGATGCTGTTGACGTTGCCTGGTCTGCAGAGTGGCGCGGATCCTCCTCTCCTATACCGCTGGCCTGTTTCCCTTGGCTTAGCCAGCTGTTCCTCCCGGGGTGCGGTTGACGTAGGGCCTCTTTTGACTTCGCAGCCACGTACTGGTGGTGCGTAGATCACACGATGACCTCGCCACAAACTCCTCCCGAAGAGACCACAGCTTTCAGTATTCATACCCGTTGAGCCATCGGTTAGGCAAGCTATTCATTCTTGTGCGTTGTGCCTCTTGCTGGCTGGCTGGTCTTTTGTTGTCTGGATGGAGTGCCAGGGCCGGTTGGGACTCTTGGCGCTTCCTTCGGGCGACGGGGGCCAAGCAGAGCGGCGTTTTGGCTGATGATTTGTACGTGAGGTCGTATATGGGGGTGTGTGGTCTCTATGGGGATCTATGCATAACCTACACTGGATGACGCATGTAGCTAATGATTGTGCTACTAACAAGGCTAGCTTGGTGGCCGAGTAAGGTTGGCTGCTGCTGCATATATGTTACCAAATTGCTTGCTGTTCCTCTGCGGGATGTCGTATACTACATTGTGTGTGGCTATTAAGGTTGGCGTATTTCAATTTGTATCCTTCTTCATCCTGTTGCTAATGGAATAATCAGTGGCTGCTGTGTTGTTCGTAGGAAGTGGCTTCATGGCAAACGTCGTCGTGCAAGGCACGGGTTGTAACCCTCCCCCCAAGGCATTTTAACTTGTGTAAATATACCGCCAGTCGTGTTGTCGTGTAGTTGCACCTCCGTGTGGAATGATACCGTACATCGCAGCTCATGGCATTACCATTACAATGCTTGGTAATTAGGTTAGGCAGATCAGATTATACAGAATAAACCAGCCCAATGAACAGAAGCAGGCAGCAACTACCAAAGCAGTTTAACAGGGGTTTCCCCGTCATCGTAGCAGGGCCCGTGGCAAACCCGTACGGCTGCCCTTGTGGTCACAGGGTGCTGTTGAGCCTAGCCCTCCTATCTAGCTAAGCCCCCTCCTAAGCGTCTTCCAAAACCTTGGCGTCCTAAGCGTCTTGCAAAACTCCTTCGCAAAACGCCCTGCTTCCATGCTCTTGGCCAAACCTTCAGTCAGACATCGGTGAGGGGTATCCTCTGGTGTACTTTGAAACCCCAACCATCACCAACGCACCTGTCTATACACCCCCAGCCGCCTGTGGCACCAGCACGTGCAGCCATAGCTAAGCGTTCGTGCGCCTCCAGTTTACGCAGCTGCATTCTAAAACCCTCTTCGCATTACCAGCAACGTGCCAGCCCGGATCCCTGCGTCACCTCGTTTCACCGTGCATTCCACAACCCCACCCGCAGCCCGTTGTTGTTGCCTTGGAAGCTACATTGCTATATACACCGCTTGCTCACAAGTCCGGTAACAGCCAGGGCCGGCACCGCTGTGCACCTAGAAGTCAGGAATCTGGTTTAGGCTGTAGCCGGAGCGCCCCTTCCACGCGAGGTAGGCAATGCGCGTGTGGTAGGCGCCCGGGAGGAATGTGATGCTGCCCAAGATGACGAGGGGAAGGCCTGCGCACAGCAAACAACGGACACTCGGCGTGGTAATGACTGGGTTCGTTCTGGATGGTGGGGGCAAGGTGAAGAATGGGGTTATGTTGCATGTGGCAGGACGGGTTGTGGGAGGCTCCATTGCAGCTGCTACTGAACGCGCCCCGGGGACTGCAGCCCACAACGCCACAAGTCGTTGACAGCTGAAAGCAGCAACCTACCGCCTTGTTCCTTCCGCCCAGTAAGGTACAGCCCGAGGCCGACGGAAAGTAGAATGGTTCCCACTAGGAGTAAACCCAACGCCAGGGCCACCTGCAATTGGTAAGCTTCTCTGTGAGGGTGGCCATTTGGGCAACCTCCAAAGTACTCTCAACTCTCTTGCCTTTTTCCAGGGACGGTTTACGGTCGCATCACCAAATTGGAAGTCCGTGTCCGTATAAGGGTCTAGGCGAAGACTCATCCTGAAGCTAGAGCGAGAGGAAGCTGGCGGGTCTTGTCACACCCTTACATACGAGCAAGCTGTATCCTCCAGGCAACACGCAGCATTATAAAGGTAAGAAGACTCTTCCTTATTGCTTTCGCTGGACGATAATGTGAGGCGAAGGGCTGGGAGTAGTTCGTGAAGCCGTTTGTACGTGTTTAGGCGAAACCAGCACGATAGTGTCAATATTTGGGTAAGAATCGAAAAGAATTAGCCGATATTAGTGAGTCGGTTGGCAGTCTTATGCAACTGGGCCTGCTCGGCCTGTAGGTTTCGCCCAACCAAATCCCGGACTGGAAACAACGAAAGATCACATACTCTGCGTAACACTATAAGCATCGGGCATAGCAAGTTACACGACTAGCTGCTATCGAAGTGCCATCCGTGAGTTGCAAAGGCCGGCGGAATGCGCATCTTGCCTCAGAGGCGACGACACTGGTTTGCGCTAGCGCTGATTCCTATCATTTGTGAAGGAATGCGTCGCCTTGCACAGATCGCTGTGCGTCGGCCACCAACACGTTCAGTTCAAGCTACTACACCACGCGGATGCCCAGTCCCACATGTCATCCATCGCCGGATCGAGCGTGTCAAGCCTGGGCGCCTAATTGTCGTGGGTGAGTAGCCGTATCGTGGATTCCATCGTCTTATCTCGGACAGTGTTCTGTTGCTGTTGGCGTAGGGCATGCCTCCTCATTCCTCCCAATTCCTACCAGTTTACAACCCCGGCGTGGCCTAAACCCCCGCCCTCCTTCAGGTGACTGCCACGGCTGCCCCGAGCTCTTCCGGCTGCTTTCGTCTCTCGGCTACGATCCCGCCGCTGACAACCTCATCCTATCTGGCGACCTGGTCAACAAGGGCCCCGCGTCCCTTGCCGTACTGGATGCCGTACCGCAGCTGCAAGCCATGGCCGTACGGGGCAACCATGACGATGCCGTACTCGAGGCCTGGCTGGCGTTCCGTCGCGGCGGCGAGTCGGCTTTGAGCTCAAAGTTTGAGTGGGTACGGCACATGAACGAGTCGCAAGCAGCTGTGCTGGCGGAGCTGCCGTTCACGGTTTCGGTGCCAGAGTACGGCATTGCTGTCGTACATGCAGGTACTGCTCCGCCGTACCTGCTTGTTTTGGTTCTGGTCTGGGAGGTATTAAATGCGGATAGGTTTTCGGGTGCATTCATGCCCTGACCAGACGCGGGGCCCCTGTCTTCGGTATGAGGCAGTCGTTTGGCTGAGCCGAGAGTCATAACCTTGGATTGCTGTATTGCCCCTTCAGCCCGCTGCCCGCTAGCTAGCCGTTTCATCCTCACCTTACTCGCACCTCGGTGTTGCGCTCTCTGGTTGCATACCGGTGTGGATGCCCTACCATCATTTGCTACCGTACTTGCAACAACGTGCGTGTGTGTGACCCCCTCCTCCGCCCCTCCGCCCTCGCCTGCTGTCTGCTGCTGCTTAGGCCTGGTTCCCGGGCTGCCTTTGGAGCAGCAGGACTTGTGGGCCATGTATAAGATGCGCAACCTGGTCCGGATGGAGGAGCAGGAGGAGGAGGGCGGGAAGGCAGCAGCAGTCGAGGGCGGGCCTGGAGAGGGAGCTATGACCCATGGGTCGGCGAACGGCAATGGGGCAGCAGCAATTATTGCTGATGGGCGGGGCGAGCGGCGTACCAGGTATGCAGTTAGAATATTTTTGTAATGGAGCTATGGGGCGGTATGAGAAGGCTCGTGGCGTGGTATGGCGTGGGGCCATAGGGCCTAGCCCACTTCTTCCCTGCCTTATCCTTCACTGCTATACCACAAGACAACCACCCACTCGCGCACACCCATTTACCTCGACAATCCAGCACGTTCCTACTCGTGGCCAGTTTTCTGGACACACCCCTTTTGCCATTCCCACTCTCCATCTTCCCTTCTTCCAGATACCGTCCCGTGGAAAAGGCCAAGGAGGGCGGTGACCCATGGGCCACCCTCTGGCAGGGTCCCCCGCACGTCTTCTTCGGCCATGACGCTAAGCGCCGGCTGCAGCTGCACCCAGCCGCCACGGGGCTAGACACGGGCTGCGTGTACGGCGGGAAGCTGACGGCGGCGGTAATGCCGCCCTTGGAGCAGCTGAGGGCGCGGAGCCCCGGTTTCGGAGCCAAGATGGCTGCGGGGCAGGCGGTGGGGCGGGAGGAGTTGATGGTGGAGTTGGTGAGTGTTCCGGCGGCGGAGGTTTACAGCGCGCCGACGGCGACGGCGCCCGCGGGAGCAGCGGCGGCGGCGGTTGAGACGGTGGCGGCGGCGGTGGCGGTGGATGGAGGGAAGGGTCATGCGTGACAGCGTGAGGTTCGTACCGGTAGGTAGGTGGTGGAAGTGGCGTACAGCGTGTGGAAGCTTTAACGGCGGTGAAGGTGGTACCGTGAAAATGTGTGACGGGGTGTTGGGAATGGCAGACGGAGGGACGGTGGTTGGGAGTGACCCGGCTCTGCCGGAGCGATCTGCAATGCGTGCGAGGTAGTGGAGGCGGTAGAGGCGGTAGGGGAGTCATGTGGCGCTGCTCTTCCTTGCGTGCTGGTGCTGTTTGCTGCGTGCTTGCAAGCGGGCGCTTTGCTAACAAGACGTGCGCGTGACATTGGTGAACACAGTAGGCAGAAGCGCACGATGACCAACGAAAACGTGACAAGGCGTACCATATGGGTGCGGTGGAGGGTTGCGTAAGGGGAGCCTACGCATTCCGCTGACGGCGGGGGTGCCGTATCGAGGAGATTAGGAACAAGGGCACACGCTGCGGGAGCACGGCTTGCAGTGTGGTGGGGAACTGATGATGCTCGAGACAAGGTGATCGGGTATTATTCGAGTGCGGCAGTCTGTGCGCAGCGTCAGTTTCGAATGTGAATGTGACTCGCAGGAAGATGGCTGGCGGTCGATATTGTATGTGCCCTGGACGTTGATGGGTGAATGCAACGAAGGGTTTGCTCCTCAATGCTTTCCAGTAGATGCGCTTTGCTCGGACGGCCCCTTGCAGCCGAGTCAGATGGCGAACAATGCGCGGCATTGTAAGGAGCGTAGATGCAAGGTAAAGGTGCAATTACTCTTCGTACACATCAGCATGAAGTAGACGTGTACGACGCATGCAGCATACATTTCCGTACTTTCGCACTTTAGTGGAAGCCAGTCTTGGCTCTGGGCATTCCCATGCGGGTACATGATAAGCTGTATGATGAGATGCATGTACCGGCGGTATCCTCCAACGATCCTGACAGCATACATCATGGCATCTAGTCAGCCCCGGCAACGAATGTCGTCAACTCAGCCCCGACACGGCACTCGACAGCTGTTCCTACGGCACGGCGTTCTCAGCCATTAGCCTTACAACCAATCAGGCAGGGACAACCCTTACCGTACAACTCCTCCTGCCTACAAATACATGGATGCCGCACTCCCAACACCCACATCCCGTTCCTAAACCTCCGTCGATCCCCCTTCCGCCTCCGCCTCCGCCCCCTCCTCCTCCGCCTCCGCCCCCTCTGCCCCCTCCGCCGCCTGCTCACCTGCCCCCGCCCCCTGCTCCCCACCGCCTGCACCTCCCGCCTTGCCCCGCCCCTTCTTCAGCAGCGCTGCATGGATGTTGGGCTGCACGCCGCCCCCCGGAATGGTGACCCGGTGCAGCAGTTTGCTCAGCTCCTCGTCGTTGAGCACCGCCAGCTGGATGTGGCGGGGGATGATGCGGTGCTTCTTGTTGTCGCGAGCCGCATTGCCGGCCAGCTCCAGTAGCTGTAGGAGCAGTCCAAAAGGAGGGTAGGGGGGAGGCAGGGAGGGAGGGCAACAGGGAGGCGGGGGTGTTCCAGGGATGGGAAGGCAGCTGGGAACACGGGCGAAGGTAAACAGTGCGCGGGGATCTTTGCAACAAGCTGTGAGAGTTGTGGAGAAGCTCACGCATTAAATAAAGGCGGATACAATGAAGGCAACAATTAGGAGTCGAGGTGTGGCTGGGCAAAGCCCGCTCTCTACTGAAGGGCGGGCTCAAGCGACCCACGGGTCATCAACGCCGACCCGAGTGCCAATCAAAATCGCAAGCCGCCGTCCCCCCTCAACAGCGCTATATGCTCCTCTCGCCGCAGTCCCCACGCACTTACCTCCGCACACAGGTACTCGAGCACTCCAGCCATGTAAACCGGAGCGCCGGCGCCTATGCGCTGGGCATAGCGCCCCGCCTTGAGGTAGCGTGCGATGCGCGATACTGGGAACATCAGGCCCGCCTTTTCACTGCGGCTGATGCGTTTCTTGCGATGCACTTCGCCTCGCTTGCTCTTCTTGGCCTTCTTCGGGCGCCGTGAGGGCGGCATTGTGAGGAGCGCGAGAGGGAGGAAGGCTTCGAGCGAGGTCCAAGCACTTGTCCAAGGAAACTCTGTTTTGGCCTTTCTTTATAATGCAGAAGCAAAGGTCTGTAGGTTGCGTTTGTGAGCTCTCGTGCTGTTAAGTAGCCAAACGGCTTTTTAAGCTGTCGCAGCGATCACGCCTTTCGGTCATAGGGCCCTTCCAGTCTAGCGGCTGACTGCCTATAAGGACTGCAGCTTTATTCACAGGATGAATAAACCGGTACTTGGGCTATGTCAAATCAAAATGTTTAATGTTCTAGATGCTTGGCATAGGATGTCAGGTCATGACAAAGCCTGCGGTTGGCGGTTCGGGCGGCCGTTACCTGGGGCCGACCCGGGCAACGACCAGGGGACCCCTGTACACGCTTCCAACCCTGCGGGGTGCAGGTGCACCTTCGAGTCCTGTAGGGAGCAAACCCATTCAGGGTGCCGCGACGGCGTGCGGGGAGTACTAGGTTGGTGCACACCTGAAACCCTAGTTCACGCCACATACAGGGCACTCCTTAGAACCCTGCAGACATTCTGAATCGGAGACACTTCTTTCCCAAACGCCTACAACCCTTAAGCACGCAGCGGTATGCACTCTGCAGCTTCGAATCCCCAGACCCCTCCGACATACATGCCGCAAGTAACCCTCTCCCCATGTCTCCTTCGGAGGTATTGGTGGTGTTGAAAAACACCGGAATTTTTGTAAGTCACCACCTCGAGGTGGACTGCAGTTTGCTCAGGCTCAGGACTTCAAACCGGGTAAGGAGGATCGCAGAGGCTCCTTACACGGCAGCAGAGCCGTCCTCAGCCTTGCCACCCTTGGCCTTCTTGGGCAGCAGCACGGCGTGGATGTTGGGGAGCACACCACCCGATGCAATGGTCACGTCGCCCAGCAGCTTGCTGAGCTCCTCATCGTTGCGGATGGCCAGCTGGATGTGGCGGGGAACGATGCGGTTCTTCTTGTTGTCGCGGGCAGCATTGCCAGCCAGCTCAAGGACCTCTGTAAGGGCGTAAAGACATGAAAACATGTGTCAAATAGTTCAATTCCCATAATGCGTGCAAGTTATCGGATGCGATACTTCGTGCTAGAATGTTAAGAGAGCTAGGCTTACCGGCAGTAATGTACTCGAGCACAGAGGCCAGGTACACGGGGGCACCAGCACCAATGCGGTCGGCATAGCGGCCCTTCTTCAGGTAGCGAGCGATACGACCAACGGGGAACTGCAGGCCGGCCTTGGAGCTGCGGCTCACGGCCTTCTTGCCAGCGGACTTGCCCTTGCCACGTCCAGACATTGTTGCGTTGGTTAAGATATACGATAATGTGTATGTATAATGATTATTGATTGGAACGGCTAAGGGATGCCTTATGTAGGAGTAGGAAATCAATGCAAGGGTCATCGGGACAGCGGTTGTCGTGCAGTTAGTTAGTCCGAGCTCTGAGGGTCGGCGGGAATGTTAGTCATGCTCGATTCCTCCATGTGCGCAAGAGAAGTTAACGGTCATGCTGTGATTTGAAGTATTTTATAAAGCAGTTATCGTCGATGGCACAAGCGGCGTGCGCCGCGAGCAGGTGCATTGTCTGGCAATGCGGGTAGGTAGAAAGCCTACGCTTGAATAAACTGTTCCGCAAAACAATGCCATGACTGATTACATTTAACTTGTGTTTTAGGGCATGTCAAAACGCAAAACATCTCCTCAAGGGGCATGGTGTTGCAGATCAGTGATTGGCAAGCACAAGACTTAATTTTGTCTACTAATCTGGGCTAATTAGCATTCCTGTTGGGATTATCTGTAACTTTCAGCTAGGAGATACTGTATATTACACCTGGTGTTTTCCCTCGCTCGTAAATGCGGCAACACACACTTGCATTTCCCTGCATACTTACTCCCGCATAATAACCAGTCTAGCACATGCCGGACATATGTAGCCCTACACGTATGCGGTTTCCTGACCGCATGTCGCTCTGCAGGGTAACTGGTGTCACCTACCTACCGGCATCTAGGGCTTTCATGCAATGCACCTGCAGACCATGGCAACAACAGCTCCTTGCCTTCAAGCGGCCAGATGCCTCATGCAAGCTTGCCCAACACTGAAAGCGGCAAAGCAACAACCGCATAGCTAATCCTTTCTAGCAACAACCACTTAACCTCCTTCAATTGGTGCACAGGGTTTTGTCCATCGTCTCCTCGCAGCAATGGGCTAAAAGGTAACCTGAGTCATGTCTAGTCTCGTAGTTGGCATGCCAGGCCTCTGAGATCTATGACAGAGAAGGAACAACGTGCCCAGAGCGCCATGTCCATCGGCAATGCCACGTTAGCTGGCCGATGGCTCTCGCAGCCCGCAAAATCTTTCTGACGGCCACGCTATACCCTATTCAATAAGCGGAATGGTTAAAATGACAAATCGGCCCGGCACGTTTAGATAGCTTAGTAAGACGTTAGGGGGCCAACCGTTGCAACGGGCAAATGGCACGTTAGTTCCAGTAGCAGTCTGGCCAGGGCCTGCAGTGCAGTCTGCTCGAGGCGACATGGCACGAGCCAATATCTCAGACATATCGGCGGCGGAATCAAGCGGCAAAGGATTAACAACCACAGGCTCGGCAGTACGGCACCATCCTTGCACGGCAATTTCGCACTAAGAGCGACAAGCTATAAGACGCAAGGCTGGCCTACCCATTTGTCAAAGGCTGGGATAATGTCAACGATACTTATCATGGCGGCGTTGGCAGCCCTTTTGTTGGCAGCCAATGTCGATGCGCAGCAGCCTGCGCCCTGTACCAAGCTCACTCCGGACAGTTCTGTTCGCAACTCCAGGACAGGCCAATATACCGTGAGTGTTATTTACCGACTTGACTCGCGCATCGCATTACTTTACTTTCCCGAGCGTATGGTAGGTTTGTGCATGCACCACGTTAACTTACTTGTCTTCCTTCGAACCGCGCTAGGTTACATATACTTTAAATGTTACGTTGGCATATGGCGCGCCAAGTTGCTTTGCGCAGCCTATCGTCTTGGTTTCCGGGGTTTTCATGCCCACGATTGAAATCTACCAGGGAGACGCTCTCAAGGTAAGACCTTCCGAGGCGATTAAAGTATGCATAGTTCTGCGTCATTATTATCCTTTGTACTGCGTTACCTGAAACTGTTGTGAATTCGATGCTGCGCCTTCTCGCCTTCTTCGTCTCGCCGACCTTGACGACCCTTACCCTGTTTCTACATCTTCTTCATGTCGCAGATTAACCTCATTAACAATATTCCATCCTCGTATCCCAGCGTCTCCGATGGTATCAACATTCACTTTCACGGTGAGCCCCGCTGTCGTACTCCGCCGCCCCTCCCTTGGCTTCGCTGCAACAGCATTGGCTTGTGCCATGCGCCATCGGCAACTTGGCATTTATCGCTCCCCGTCTCCGTCTCTTCACATTTCTCACACCCACGTGCCCTTCTACTCGCCCACCCTCCCGCATCCTCACCCCGCCACCCCGTCAGGCCTCCGCATGAGCGGTTCCGCAGCCTGGTTCGACGGCCCCGCCTACATCGCCCAGTGCCCGGTTGCCCCCGGCTCTAAATACACCTTTGAGTTCACTGTATGTACATGGGCGGTCCTGAGCACCCCTGCATCTCTGCCTGCTCTGCTCGCACCTGGGGTTATCGGTCTTGGCACTAGTTACACTTGTCTTCGGGCTTATTGTTGGTGTCATTTTAATGCACTCAGCCACACTGGCCCCATGCGCCCTCCTCCCACGTGCCCTCCTCCCCGCCCTCTTTCCCCAGGTGAGCGATCCGCCCGGCACCTATTGGTGGCACGACCATGCAGGCGGATTCAAGGGGGACGGCCTCAAGGGCCCCCTCATCGTCCGACCCCCTCGCGCCACACCCGCTCCCGCTCCCAAGACCAACAGCAGCAGCAGCAGCACCAACAGCAGCAGCAGCGCCAACAGCACCAACAGCAGCAGCAATGCTGGGGATGTGGCAACCGTACCAGATCTCTGGTCGTACGACGGGGAGCACACGTTGTTCCTGAGTGACTGGTACCACACGCCCATGAACACCCTGCTCTTCAGACTTAACATGTGGGTGTATTGGGAGTTGCGGTTTCAGTTGGCAGGTGCTGCTGGCAGTTGGGAGTTACGGTTGAGGTTGGCAGGTGCTCTTGGCAGTCGGGAACTGGCTGTCTAGTGCTTGAACGTGCGCGTCTGCATCCTCTCATCCTGCCACCACCTCCCCTCTACCTCCCAATCCTACCCCCACATCAGGCCCTTTGACGCCGCCAAGGTCAACAACGACACCGGTTCCTGGAACTGGGCGGGCAATCCGCAGGCCCTGCTGCTCAACGGGAGGGGCTTTTACGGCGACTGCCCGCTGCTGCCCGGCTCGGGGGCGGGGGCGGCGGCGCCCACCTGCGCCCCCTCGGCCTTCACGGTAGCACCCGGACGCAGCGCGCAGCAGCCCTGGGCGTCCAACAACAACCCAGGTGTGTGCGGGGAGGGGGGCATGTCGTTGGGCGAGTCGCATTGTGGGAGTCGGTCTGGGTTTCGCGGTCCAGAACTGCAGGGAATGGAGTGTACGGCACAGTCGTTTTGCATGCGCTGGGCGCTATGGAACGGTAAAGCCCGCCTGACATACCCCACCTTTCCCTCTCCAACCCAACCTCAATATGTAACCCCTTGTGGCTTCCCTTTATATCCCCCCTCCCTTACCCTCACCCTCCCTGCCCCCTCACCCCAAACCCCCAGGCTGCACCCACAGCCAGCTCACCGTGCAGCCCGGTCGCAGCTACCGGTTGCGGCTGGTGAACGCGGGCAGCCTGCTCTACCTGACTGTGTGTTTCGAGGGGCACAATGTGACACTGCTGGCGGCGGATGGGAGCCCCACTGCGCCGCTGTCCACCCGCTGCCTGGACCTGAACAGCGGGCAGAGGTGCGGGGGGTGATGGGGGCGGTGGATGGGAGTGGATAAAGGTCGGGTAAAGAGTAAAGGTCGGGTAAAGAGTGAAGGTCGGATAAAGAGTAAGAACCTTGTTGAGAAACGCACGGGCTGGGGTCGTTTCTGTAAGACGGTACCCTGGCTCTACCCCTGCTTCTTTCTATTCTCCCTTGCGGTCTACCTGCTTGTTCACTCAGTCTGGTTTCCCTTTGGTTGACCCCCCGCTGCTGCCCTCCTCTTCCTTCCTCTTCCCCCTCCGCCCAGGATGGACGTGCTGCTAGTCGCCGACCAGCCGCCCGCCAACTACTGGATCACCGCGGCCCCGCAGTTCCGATCGGGCTCCCCCGCGGGATATGCCGTACTGAACTATGCGGGGGTGCCGGGGGGCGTCTTCCCCGCCTCGCCCGCTCCGCAACCGGGGAGCATTGCTGCGTGGAGCTATGAGGAGAATGCCAAGGTGGGGTAAAAAATATTGAGACACTGACGATGCAACTGACGAGCTGTATGACAAGGCTTCACCATGGGGTGCAAACATGGTAGCCGGTCCATCCCACCGATGCCAAGGTGGGGAGGAGGCAAGGGAAGTGGAGGGCAGGTTGGGGTGAAGAGGAATTGAAGCGCTAGAAGGCCTGGAGTCCCCAAACCAACCGGCTGGGTAGAGTACCGATCTGGCAATTTGCATGCGGCAACCAACCAACCTGGGATGGCCATCATCGCACGTACCGTTGTCTGGTTACGCTAACTGTTGTGTCACGTATGACTGTCTGACCTTCCGCCCTGTATCCTTGCCTCGCCCCCCCCCCCTTGCCCCTTGCAAACCATGATGGTGCCTTATCACACGGTCAGTTAGTTGTTTCCTCTCTACCCCCCTTGCCTCTCCCCCCCCCCCCAGGTGGTGACGGCGGATGTGATGTTGTCCGCTCAGAGCCCCAGCCGGGCAGCATCGCTCTACCGCCGACCCGGAAATGTGAGCCGGGAGGGATGGGATAGGGGTAGGGGCGGGGCGGGGCGGGCTGGCGGGGCAGGATTGGGGAGACGGGGTGTGGTCAGAACAGGGTTGGAAGGGACAAGCGGCTGTGGTGTCTTGAGGTGAGCCGGGAATCACAGCAGGTGGCTAGGCAAGCAATTGTGAAGCAAAACGTAACAAAGGCTTGCGGTGGTTCCTCTTACACTGCCGATAGTTACGGATGGCTCCGCTGTCTTCCCCCTTGTGTGCTAGGGCTGCGGGGGTTTGAGAAAATGGATATTTGGGAACTGTGAACCAGAAAGCGTAAGTGCACCTGAGCAGATTAAAGAGGGGGTCTGAATAAAACCCCGGTCACGTTTATCGATGCATGTGCGCCCCCACAAATACGGCTAGTCCACCATACCCCTACGTACTGCAGCTAGGATGCATGGGGTTCATTAGATCGTACCACCCCTTACCTTGCTTCAACCACCACCCAACCCCCCAACCCCCCCAGGCCAGCCTAGCTCCCCCCGCCCCCACCCAGCTGGTAGTGGTGAACCTCTCGCAGCCCATTTTGGAGGCGAACGGACAGCTCAGGTGGGTATGGGTGTCCCTTGGGGCATGGGTATCCCTTGCATGCATGGATTGCGGGTTGGGCTGGAGAAAACAGGCGTGCGTTGGATGAACGACAGCACCCGCTCTTACCTCCCCTTACCTCGTCCCCACCCCATGGGAATGGAAGAAAACGCTTTACACTTGTCTCCCTTTCCCCCCACCCCCTTAATCCCACCATGGTCACGGTCAGTGTATTTCCTCGCGGCTCAGATTACCTATCCCCTCACCCCCTTCACCCCACCCCAACCCCCTCTCCCCCCCCAGGTGGGCCCTGGGTAACGTGGCCATGCCCGACAACCCCGTGCAGTCCTGCCAGCCGCTGCTGCCGCTGCTGCGCCGCTACCCGGCCTACCTCTCGCGGCGGGCGGTGCTGCCGGAGGGGGGCAACGGCACGGGGGCGGGCCCCTCGGTGGGGCTGGCGGCGGTGGGGAGCGACAGCAGCAACCCGTGAGTGGGGGTTGGGGAGGGAGGGAAGGGAGGGGGGGATGGAGCGGAAGGCTGGAACGTTTGGTCGTGCAGCTGCGGGTTGCAGCAGTGGGACCTGAAGATGCGAGGTTGGAGGTATTGTACGCGTCGTCTTGACAATACGTGCATGACAATGCGTAGCGGTGTGCCCACGTGTCTCCTGTCACATTCTTCCCTTCCCCACCTCTCTCTTGTTCCCTCACACCCGCTTACCCTCCCCCTCCCCCCCCCCACATCCCCCGGTCTGCAGTGTCTACCTGGAGGGTGTTAGCCCCGCCCCGCTGTACCCCTCTGTGGGGCTGCACCTGGTGGCCCTCAACGCGAGCAGCGTGGTGGATGTGGTGAGGGTGGTGGGGTGTAGTGGTGGGGGTGGTGGAGAGGGGCCTGGTTGGGCTTCGTGTGCTGCGGGTGTCACATCCACATGATGCAAGCACAGGTACCAGCAGCAGCAGTAGCCGACATCAGCAGCAGTAGCCGGTACCCGCACCCGTATGTTGACTGTGCATCTCGCCTGCCCACCCCCTCCCGTAAGTGCCCCCTCCTGCCGCCCCCCAGATTGTCAACAACCAGCCTGCCAACAGCAACAACGGGGACTACCGACCCGGTGTGGGAGCCACCCGCACCGCCATGGAGCAGCACCCCTTCCACCTGCATGGTCACCGGTTCTGGGTGAGCCACCGGGGGGTGGGGAGGGGTAATGTCGTGCGGACATAGGCTTTGAGAGAGGAGGAAGAAGCTGCATGGAAAATGGGTGAGGGAAGGTGGGTTGCTGTGCTGGAATGCTGGTACCGGTGCACAGACGACCACCAACAGAACAGCAAACCGCAACTAACCAATCTTCCCTTCCCCTCATCCCCCCTTACTCCCTCTCTCCCACCCTCCCGCTGCTCAGGTGTTGGGTCGCGGCAGCGGTATATTCGACCCCCCGCAGCACGCCGCCTCCCTCAACACCGCCAACCCCGCATTCAGGGACACGGTGACGGTGCCGCAGGGCGGATGGGCCTACCTGCGATTCGTGGCGGATAACCCCGGAGTCTGGTAGGGGTTGGGGAAAAAAGAGGAAACAACTAACTGACTGAGGGATAAGGCGTCAACATGGGTTGTGTATTGGGTTGCATCGGCTGGTGGAGAACCTTCATCGTTTGTTCAGACTAATACATCGTATAAGATGTGATGTCTCATGCAAGGCTAGCCTCCAACTCCCAGTTCTCTGTCTCATCCCCCGTCTTGCCCCGACCCACCCGTCTTCCTCAGGCCCTTCCATTGCCACATCCTGCCGCACATCTACATGGGGCAGCAGGTGCGTACGGCAGCAGCTGCTGCCGGGAGGACTGCAAACAGCAGGCTCCGGGCGGTTCATGCTTTAGTTGGGCCACATGTGCTGCGGCTGTATCTGCAGCTAGGCTTTGGGAGCCTAGCTGCTGTGCTTGCTCGCTCTGATTGGGCTGATAGAAACCTCCACTTATGCACCCAATCCCCATTCTTCCCATCACCTCCCTGCAGTTGTATTTTGTAACGGATCCTTCCAAGGTCCCCGCACCGCCCGCCGCATCACCCAAGTGCCCCGAGACATGCGCGTGAGTAGCGGGGGCGTGGGGCCGACTGGCTGGGCGGTTGGGCTTTCCGATTCGATGTGGTGGTGTTTGGGACCATGCGGCTATTGTGAAGACACGTGTCCTCAATCCCCTCATACATGTGCTTTGCACGACTGCTGCCATGCACCGTGTGACAGTAACTCTGGCTGGAGGGGTTGCTGGCTGGACAACGCATGCAGCTAACATACCCCTTCTGCGTTTGCCGTACCAACGGATCGTACTGCAGGTATAATTTTGCGCCGTACAATAAGGCCTTTTTGCGCTCCAAGTGGGGCAAGTCGGGCTTTGAGCTTCCACCACTTTACTAACCGAGACGACGCACGCCACGCCTCGTCAGGTCTAACGCAACCGTTAACAAATATTAGAAGCCTCAACCAGTAGAATGAAGGAACGCAATGGCCCTTTGCTGGGTTGAAATGAGCGTGTGTATGCGATCCACAGCTTCAGTGACGAATGTAAGCGCAGCGGCTATAGGTTGTAGCTTTTAACAAATGGGTGACTTACAGCCTTGATACCGTCCTGCTGGCTTGGTCTGTTGTACATGTCGTACATCAATGATTGACCGTCACAATGGTGCCCTACAAGGGAACACGGGTGTTGAACGGATGTCGTACATGTCTTGGGTTGGAAACCCCAGGTAGTTGTTTTCGGAGCTACCCTATCTCGGAGTATAATAGCAATTCCCGTTCCCAGAACGGAAGTCTTACTGCCTTGGAGTACTTGCCACTACTTTTCTCATGCACTGTCCTGAGCAGCAATGAGTGGCCACTGTACGACCCACGGGTCAGCTTGTGTATGAGTGCATGAATGTCGGCGGTTAGTCAGCTATGCTTTTGCTTTTCCAAAATTCGCTTTTCGTACATTCTCGGAGCTTTCGGTACTGTCTGGTTGTTCATGTATGCACATGTACCAATCCTAACTAGTAGATTGCCGAGAGGGTAGGGACCGGACTATCGACTTCCAATCCGGTTCAAGACGTACAGTTCCATATCTGTGGGCTCATTACTGGGGTTTATTAAGGCAACTAAACTATCAGCCTTCCGATTGAGGCAAACACTTGTATGTAAAGAGGAAACATGGGAGGGGGCTGCGAACAGGTCCCGATGCACGCTTTCATGGGCCTCGCAAGCTGCTGTTTCTGCATCTAGGCTTTGGGAGCCAATCTGGGCTTGCGCTCTAATCGGGCCGCTGATAGAAACCTCCAGTCCATCACATACGCTCCCAACCCCCTCCGCTGTCATCTCACCACATCCCTGCAGTTGTATTTTGTAACGGATCCTTCCCCCACCGCCCGCCACATCACCCAAGTGCCCCGAGACATGCGCGTGAGTAGCGGGGCGAGGGACGTGGGGAGGACGGGTTGGGATTTGCTTCCATTGGTTGTGTACTGTAGGGGCCATGCGGGTTCTGTGAAGACATGGTGTATTTTACAGGACTGCGGCGTTACTGGCTGGCTTTCGCTGACCTTTCCCTATAATCTCGAAGAGTTTACTTGATGTATGTACTTTGCTTATGTATGTATATGCTTTGCTGTTATACTGCAATCGGTTGGACGAAATTACACCTTTTATGAGTTACCTTTTATAGTCATGGAAAGGATTTAAGCATTGTCTGTTGGCCTCCGGAACCGTGTACGGAAATCTATGTGAAGGCGTCGAAGGAGCTTCTAGAACGTTCTGGAAGGTCTAGAACCTTCTAGCATTACGTTGGCAACCGAAGTAGGATCTGGCAGGCCAACAGGCCAATAGTAGGTTTCCGTACAAATACCGTACAATTGCCGTATTTTCCCATTAGTATATAAGACGGAGTTTTGACTTATTTTAGTCAACCAGTCCAAGACCCTAACCCAGGACGGGTAGGCAGATGGTTCCGGCAATGGCCCGACAGTCCTTTTCCCTTCTCTTTGGTAACAACTGAAGGTCAAGTTCCTTCCCCTCTTCTGCTAAGGGTCACACCACCAGGGCCCTTCATGCTCGCACGTCTGGAAGGTCAGCAACAGCCCCTTCCCTCTTCTGTACCTGTACCCTTGCCTGCCACTGCTAACAAGTACTTGGTACGGCAACAACAACCTACGGTTCCCAACTGCTGATAAGTCTTAGGTGGACATAAGTGCTTGGATATTACCCCGTTACACTACTTCCGCACGCATAGCAAGTCTCGATATACAGCCCCATTAGTAGCCTCCAATGCACACACAGTAGCAGGGGTAATGTGGTCAAAGTATAGTGTGTCGTCACCTTACGGCACTATACGGCAGCAGTAGTGACAACTAGGGTCCTTGGGCAGCTTTAGGCTTAGAGTGACTCTGCCCCTGAGTCGCGAAAAAAATGCTCTTAGGGTGGTGTCGCCTAGCGCGCCTGATCATGACAAGCTTGCCTGACGTCTTCATGCGTGAAAGGTCGTGGCGCATTTTCAGAGCAGGACGGAGCAAGGTTGAACATAACCGTACAAGCAAGTGTTCTATAGAACGTGTGCGCTTCTCCGTGCGGAGCGCCCTGGCTTGCTTATTATTGTTATTACATACTAACTGGCAGCTAAGCAAGAGCAAAGCAACAGCACAAGCAACGCAACCAAGGACTCCGCAAGCAACCAGAACCTAACTAACCAGAGAAAATACTATACCACCGCCTTAAAAGGTAAGGCCCCAACAGAGAAGACAGTAATAAACTATCAGCAATAATATCCAGAAACTCCAGAGGTGCCCAGCAGGGCAGCCCCACCTACGTTCCTAGAGCATTATTTAACTAAACCCAGGGTCTAAAACTACCCCGCCTAGGGCCAACCCCAGCACATTCCCACTGGAAACCAGAGTCGCGTGAAGCCGACTCCAAAATCAAGACACCGCAGACAGGCCAGCCTGACGAGCAACCCAGGCGCAACTAACCCCGCAACGCCGGACTCGTGCACACTGGTCCGCAAACAATTCCGATCCTTTCTCCACAGCAGACAAGGCGTACGTGTTCCCTTCAAGTAAACTATGATAACGGTCAACCATTCAACCAAGCCGGCCAAGTCCAAACATCCCAAACGCATTACTGCACACACATGCATGGAAGGGTGTGGCTATTCCCCCACAAAGCAGCCCGCATGACCATCACATTTAACTACTCTTATCCTTAGCAAGTTGACCAACCACAACACACGCAACGGGGCAAGCCCATGAATACTGCAGCAGACGTGGGGCGAGACGCCCCGAGTACCCAGGTGTCCCCCCCCAACGCCCGTTTTACCGTGGCTTCCGAGCTGTAATGCCTGTAACGGTCATTCATTTACTTCGAACAGAGTACAGACCCACAGCCACAGCTCGCTCTCAGGACGAGCACGTGACATGCGGGTACTGTCAGCAAGGAATTCCCACCAACAATGAATAGCTATCATAAGGATTTCTTTCAAGGACCTGAATTCTACAACGGCACTGATGAAAAATTCTTCAGGAGGCTCTTGCGCACCATGTAACTCGAAGGCCTACGGGATGTAGGCCTCACGCAACGCAAAACAATACTGAAACACTGGCAAGCTGAAGCACAGTGGCCGAAGAGAAAGACTCCTAGAAAGACTCGTTTCCGTCCAATAAAACGTACATGCCACCTCAAACCCGGAACCAAAACTTGCCACGCAACTTCTTCAGCTGCCGGCGGAGGTTAAGGCGCCAAGTAATCAACAAGTAAGGGACACCTCCGCTGCCGTACCCAAGCCGCGGGCACATCGCGTATCAAGGTCTCATAGCTCAAGTCTCAGGCGACAGCAACAGAACTTGACGCCTAGGCAGGGTGCAAAGGGCAGAGGCATCCTGGCCGGACTAGAAAACCGAGGCAGAAGAGGGACCGGCACCGCATCACCACCAGCAGGGCACTCTACACAACAACGCTCTGTCCTCATAAGCTGGGCAACAGGAGCCTCCGCATCGACACCTTGTACGTGTACGGATGCCCTACTTGCCGCATGCCTTCCGGCAAGCTGTCCACCATCAAGAGCGCGCCAGGGACCTCAATAACAACCGGGGGTGCAGGCTCCTAATAGAGCCCCCTGCTGCCACCACTCTAACCCCACAAGACGCATGGCCGCTACCGATACGTGGCACGCACCCAGAGCTACTTCCTCACAGCATCACGTACGGGTGTTACCTCCAAAATCCGAGATCCCGCATGCATAAAAGGCGACCCCTGCTGCATGCACGGCAAGGTCGATTACGCCGCCAGCAGGGCCATCTGCCAGCAAGGCCTATCTGGCCATGCACATGCCGGTTAAGTAACACACGCCTCCACATACGCCACACACTGCCCCGCAGCCACAGTGCGTTCCAACACCCGACAAGCAACATACACCGCCCACTACAGCATGGAGCGTGCAGGGCAGATTACTGAAAGAGGAGCTGGTTCGGCGGGACAACCCAGGGCTCCTCATCGCAGGCACCTAGGGCCCCGGCGGCAACACACTACGGGCTCCACTGCGGCGGCAGACCTGCAGGGCCGAACATGCATGCATACATTCAACCCCCTTACGCTCTTCACGAATCCGCAGCGGTCGATGCTACAGAGATGACGATGATAAGAACCAGTATTACTACGATTGTTATTACGGTCTTTTTGCAGCAACTGGCTGGAGGACTTGGATTCTCCTGCTTGAGCTCTTCGTACGGTTGCCCGATTACCACCTGCTGTTGCTCCTCGAACCCTGCCTTGACCGGTTCAGGTAGCTGTAGTGGCGCTGGACCTGGCAGCTGTTGCACTAGGGTTGGCCGATCTGACAAAACAATTTGCAGGTTCTGCTGCACCTGCACCTGCTGCTGATGCTGCTGTGGCTGCGGCGGCGGCGGCGGCTTCGGCTTCGGCGGTGGCGGCGGCTCCGGCTTCGGCGGTGGCGGCGGCTCCGGCTTCGGCGGTGGCGGCAGCTTCAGCTTCGGCGGTGGCGGCGGGTTCGGCTGCTGCTGTGGGCGCCGTTGCTGTGACGGCTCGCTTCCCATTCGCTTGAGGCAGGTGAGGACTTCCTGCATGCACGCCTCAAAGTCACTGTCCACTAGCGGGTTGTCTCCCTGGGGCACACGTTGCACGCCACTCAGGAAGATTTCGAGAGCGGGAGGCGGGTAGGGCCCGCTGTGCCAGATGGGCAGGATGCACTTCTCCTTGTTGTCAGCAAGTTGGAACTCACGGAAGGTCCAAGGTGAGGAGCCGTAGCTGTTGTAAAGGAGCGAGGGGGGAAGGGGCGGGGGTGGGGATCAGGACGGATGCATACACACATGCATTACTTCAACACGTTCCACCTGAATGGTAGTGAGGTGGAGCTGGATAGCCTTAAAACAATGCAAACAGGTGCAGGCGAGGCATGTAGCCAGGCCGTCGCACGGAGTAGGGAGCCTCACAGCGCGCGTGGGCTAAGAAAGGACCCACCCAAGTGTCCCCTTTTTGGCCTGCCTACGCCCCTTCCCGCGTAGCTGGGAAGTGGTGCATAGGAAGGGAATCTAAATGGATAACGGACAATTGTTCAATGGGACCGTCAAGAGTTCGATCTCGGTGCCAGCAGAACAGGGTGCACAAAGTCCAAGTGCGGTTGTTCTCACACCCAACCCCGGGTTTAAACCGCCCTGCAACATAGTTGCCATCGCATGCCTGCACGCATGGGCAGGCCTTTGAAACGTTCTTTTGCCTCTTGGCATAGAGCTCTATGTGGCCACTGGCCAGGTACCTACCGAACCCCACAATCCCCACCCCCATGGCCGCCCATCCCCTACCGATACCTCTCTCAACCCTGCACCTAATGTAACACTGCACAATCAGTGCGCACCTGGGGGAACAGAGGGCAATGAAGACCTCGCAGTTGATGACTGCGGCCTGGATTTCCTGGCCCCACAGCTGGCCTCCTTGTAACTTGTTTTCACCCACGAAGACGGTGTAGCCCTTTGATTGCAGATATGACTTAATCACGAAAACCATATTGTCGCCCCCCGCGCCGGTTTCAGGTTTACGGTAGCTGAGCATGATTTGCGCATCAACGCTGTCATCCTCATTCGCAGCGGATCCTTGATTGGAGGTAGGAGCAGGCTGCACTGTCGATGAGCGCTTGCCGCGAAGGAGCGAAGACGACGAACGCAGCATCGGCGCCTCAGTCGCCAGCCTCAGTCGCACAACCCCGTAAATATTAATTTTATTTTGAAGCGCACAGTCAAACTTTGTCCTAACTCTGTTTGTAACCCTAATGAATTACTGTCCAAACGGCTCAGCAACGCTTTACTTCTTGCAGGGCTCAGCGGCTCACAAGGCCTCATGTACGGCGCCCGCCAGTCACTCCCCTGAGGGTGCGTCCGGGCAGAGTGGGACTGGTGATCAGTGTTGCATGTTATACCTTTATTTCTGGCGCAGAAGCCAGCTTCTTATTTGAGTGGGGCCCTCGCGCAACCCTGGGGCCAGCCTAAACAAGCCCAGCCGACCCGCTCTGCTCCTTTACTGTATGTAATAGTTCAGGCATAATACAAGTATATGATTGAAGTATCACGCTAGGAGACGGACCGTACATCCACGTCATACCGGTCAAAAGAAACTCGCCATATCTTAAAGTAAAACTATAGTCCATATGCGAAAGGAATAAGTAGATACTACATAAGTGGGAATATTAGCTTTCAACGGCCAGAGCGGTTCTGGGTGGCTCGCGTCCGGACTGTTACAGGAAGGGGATGCACCTAAACCTTGCGAGATCTAGGTAGCACCGCCCAGCCCTCCTTGCGCCATTGGCTGGGGTCCGGCCGCAAGGCGACTGGGCCACAGGCTGACCAGGCCTGTGAGGCGCTGCACAGGTGTATCCCGGGGCGGTACTCAACTACCCCGGGGTCTTCACGTCGGAAGGGCCTTACTTGGGCGGCTGGGACGAGATGCTGCTGCGTGTTCACTGGGATTGCTGGGCCAACTGCCGGCCCCCGCCGCACCCCAGGGGCGATCTCTCATGTTGTTTTACATTATTCCATGCAGGGGCCAGCAGCAACAGTAGCTATTGTGGTACATATTCATATGCGATGGGAAAGGTTGCTGGCTTGACTTTCTGCTAGGATCTGAGCTGTGAGAACCCCTCACCCAAGGGGTGTTCTTGCAATCCACGCGAGTGCTAGCACTGCTGTAAAGCAGTGCGACCCACGTGTCGGTGAGAAGGCGGGTGTAAATGGTCAAATTTATATGATTGGCCATGATTGTTGTTGACTTACATGGCTCACTTCTAGTATTCTTTACAGATTGTTTTCCCAATAGGGAGACTATTGTGCTTTTGCAAACGTACTTCCTCGTTTCGACCCTACTTCCTCGTTCCGCCTGCCACCCCTACCGCCTCGACCCAGCCCAATGCCAGCCATAAAACCCTTTCCTCCTGTCAACCGTACCCTCAACCTTATCCGCCAACACAACGTATAGCCTCCATTCCATGTCGTACATTAATGAATGACCGTTACAATGGTGCCCTAAAAGGGAACAAGGGTGTTGAACGGTTGTCGTAGATGTCATGGAAACCCCACGTAGTTGTTTTCGGAGCTACCCTATCTATTGCAATTCCCATTCCAGGAACGGCCTGTGTGCCGGATGCAGCGGACGTTGGCGCTGCTGCGGGCAGGGCACTGGTGTCAGGAGCGGCATGACCAGTGGACGAAGGGTCGGCTGCTAGAAGGAACGGTCGGACGATTGTGGGGTACCGAGTGCCTTTTCGTACCTGCTGTGGTGTGACCTGCAGTGGTGATTTGTGATCTTCTACTGCCCTTTACCCGTGTTGGCGTGGTCTGGGGTCCTTGAGGACAACCAACCCTTCCCCGGGGAGTCCGGACCCCAGTGCCCAAGTTTGGCCAAGCCAACGATGGGGCACGACAACGGGAGTGGTACTGCCTCGGAGTACTTGCTACTACTTTTTCTCATGCACTGTCTTGAACAGCCGATTGAGTGGCCATTGTACGACCCACGGGTCAGCTTGTGTATGAGAGGCTGAGTTGGGTGAGTCGGCTTTTATTTCGCTTCTCCTTTCTTACATCCTTGGTGCTTTCGTTACTTCATGACTGTTCATGCACATGTATTATTTCGAACGTAGTTCTAGTTATTACCGTGTGTTCCGAGGATAGTACCTGCACCAGATACTTCAATGCTTGTACAAGCTTGTACATGCAGCTTCACCTTTGTTATCCTGTTCGTTACAATGTACAATGCAGTACAACTTCGTACGGCGCTGAACCACATACATTGTAAACCCTTTCTTAATGATCGGGACAGGAGCATTATGTACAGAAATGGCATGCACCCGCACGTTGCTTACTAACACGCAGTCCTTCCAAAACCTACAATGCGTGCCTACTTGCGTCATCACAGCCTGGTTTAAGCTAGACCCCCGTTCAAGTGGGCGCAAACATTGGTACTTTTTTCCCTGCTATACTTATCACGTTTGTTGTTCATCATATCATCATCTATTCCTCATGCCATTGTCACGTGTACCCGGATGTACCGCTGCTTACATAATCCAACCATTCAGGCATCAAACAGCTCCCACCGGTCGCATGCCACATTTCCTTCAACTTGGGTTCTTCGGCAACTGAACTTCGGAAATTTCCAAAGCACCTGCTTTGCAGTGACACTGTCACACGTATCCGCACACGCACTCACATTGCTGACTAGTTCAGCTCCGGGAAACACCGAAACATCAACACTCACCCCTCAACGGTCAACTACCAGCTTAATGCCAGTGCCAGCAAACTAGACAACCCTACCAGCTCCTCCTTCCACCATGCGCGCTAACCCTACCCTTTTGCAGGGTATCGATCTGAATCATTCACCCAAAGGTATGTACGATGAACGCCGAGCCCCAACAGAGCCCCCGTACAATTGACCTACCTCCTTTTCCCGCCCGCCAGCTAGCCCTATTCGCCTCGCACCTACCACGCCATGCCAATCGCGACCCCCCCAGTCCTTCTCTACCAACCTCATCCCCAACCTCATCCCCAACCTCATCCCCAACCTCATCCGTCAACGCCATGTACAGCCTCAATTCCCTCCCTTCCCTCACATGGGTCTTTTCTTTCCCCGGCCTAGATGCGCACCCCCGACAGGTCCCGGGCGCTTGGCTCCCGCAGCATATCCACCAGATGCGGTGGCAGCGGCGTCACGTAGTGCGGCGGCGCAATGGTTGACATGGCGGCCGCCGTCACCTCCGCCGTCCGCCCATGAGGCAGCTCGTCCAGCTCTGACGACGGCAGGTCGGGGATCAGCGCCGCCGCGGCGGCGGCGGGGTCGATATCCGCAGGCGCAGCGGCGCCGCCATGCGACTTGGGCTTGGTGCGAATGGAGGGGAGAGCGGCGGCGGCGCTGGCGGGATCGGCGGCGTCTCGGATGACGGAGGGCATGGCGGCGGCGGCGGCGGCGACTTCAGCGTCGCGACCGGCGGTGGCGGAATCAGGTACGAGGCCGCCGTCAGCTGGCGCCGGCGGCGCCTCCACCTCGGGGTCGTCCCAGGCCCAATCGGCGGCGCCGGCAAATCCGTACGCAGCACCCTTGGCGCCCGGCGGCGGCGTGTCTGGACTGTCGTACACGTAATGGCCGGTAGTGCTGCGTTCCAGACCCGTCGCGTCGTCGGTGACTGTGGCGGCGCCAGCAGACTCAGATTCAGGGACCAGTACGGCAGACGTGGCGTTGAGCTCCAGTTGAAAGCCAGGCGGCACGCGGACGTCGGCGGCGGTGACGTCGCCACTGCCGTACACATCTTCGACACCGGCGCCGGCGGCGTCGTCGTACTCGTCATGCCTGGCCGCCGTCGACCTGACGGCGCCCACGATGGGCGGCGCCTGGCGGCGGAGGTTGCCGTACGACGCCGCAACCGTCGCGGGGTCGCGGGCGGCGGCGGCGGCGGCTGGCGGCACCACCTTGGCCGGCAACTCCGCCGGGAACTTGTCCTCTCCTGTGCCGTACAGCCCCGGCCCCTCCTGCTCCGCCGGGGTTGTTGCCGGGGCGCGGGCCACGTCCGTTGCAGCAGCGGAGATTTCTGCTCGGAAGGGCAGGAGCGGGGGAGCAGGCAAGCGAGCAAGGCCGTTGGGTTCAAGTATCAGCAGCGGGCAGAAAGCGTGTAGTTGCATATCATACGCAAAGGTGTCCATTAGGTGTCAACATGCAGGAGCAACAGCCAATAACGCTATCCCTCTAAAATTGCAATCTACGACCAATCAGCTTATACCGTCTCTTCCCACCTTCCAGTGCTCGCTCCAGCGCGGTCGCGGCGGAGGTCAGCGCTCGCTCGCCCTCCCCGGGTGACCCACGGGTCGCCGCCGCCTTCGCCAGACTGCCCACGGACGCCATTGCCGCCGCCAGCAGCCGCTGATCGCCCAGTCCCTGACCTGCGCGGTGCAGGGTGAACATCGCACACTTTTATTTCCTCCACATATAAAATGCTGCTAGTTATCCCCTGCCCCTCCGCATCCACGCTCGCCCCTTCCTAAACCCCATTCCATTCGCACCCCCTCACCCGCATGCGGCCTCAGGTCCAGGCAGGCGCTGGGCACTGCCGCCAGGTGGCCGCTGGCGGTCTGGGTCACCAGCGGGTCGCCGCGGGGGCCGGAGGCAGCCGCAGGAGGGCCGAGCGCATCCGCCTCCGCCGGAGCTAACGATACACATGCGTGTGAAAGGAGGAGGAGCAGGAGGGGCGGGGCAATTGGATTCGTATGTGTATATCGGTATTATACAGATAAGACACATAAAGTAAAGCTCGCATACGGTACACAAGGACAGGGAGCCGTTATATGTTAAGTGGTTGGGTGGTTGGCCGAGTGGTTGGGTGTCCTATGAGGTCTGTACAGCCTATGTCATACCATGTCACAAACAACAGATAACGTACGGCACTGCATACGCACACGCATGCACGTACGCACCTCCTCTTCCACTCGACGCCATGCCTCCGAAGGCGCTGCTCAGCTGCCGAGCCGCCCCCACCAGCGCCCCCGCCACATCCCGTGAGGCAGCTCGCGACGCCAGCCGCGTCAGCGTCGAAGCCGCCGCACTCGCCGCCGATGGCAGATCCCGTAGCAGCGACTGCGACGGCGCGGCGGCGGCGCCGCCGCCGCCAGCGCGACTGCCGTACCCGCATCCTCCAGCGGTGGCGTCGAGGTTGTTGCTGATCGCGTCGGCAGGGCCGCCGGCGTCAATGACGTCGGAGTTGGCGGCGGCGTCCTTAATGACGGTCTT